AAATTCAGAAAGCTTGATTTTTTTGGTTTTTAAAATTTGAAATTCACTAAACTTTTTTGGGTGCTGTCAGGTTACTTTCACGTATTGCGAATCTTGCCTCCAAATATGTCGCTCAAATCCTTCTAGTTTTCGAGATATGATGTGTTTTGTGATTTTTCGAAAAAATTCCAAGAAACTTAACGAAAATATTTAAATTCAAATCTAGAAGTTCTCAAATCTGTAGTTAGTTGCTGTCAAAGTACTCTCAAGGATTGCGAATCTTGCCTCCAAATGAGACGACTCAAGTCCTTGTAGTTTTCGAGGTATTACGTTTTTTTTGTGATTTTCTCAAAAATTTTCATAATGCTTGACTTTTTTTTGGTTTTTAAAATTTGAAATTCAAAACCCTTTTTGGTGCTGTCAGGGTAATCTCATGTATTGCAAAACTTGCCTCCAAATATGTCGCTCAAATCCTTGTAGTTTTCGAGATATGATGTTTTTTGTGATTTTTCGAAAAATTTCCAGAAAACTTAACGGAAATATTTAAACTCTAATCTTGAAATTCTCAACTCTGTAGTTAGTTGCTGTCAGAGTACTCTCAAGGATTGCGAATCTTACCTCCAAATGAGACGACTCATGTCCTTGTAGTTTTCGAGGTATCACGTTTTTTTTTTCTGATTTTTCAAAAAACTCAGAAAGCTTGATTTTTTTGGTTTTTAAAATTTGAAATTGTTTAACCTTTTTTGGGTGCTGTCAGGGTACTTTCATGTATTGCGGATCTTGCCTCTAAATATGTCGCTCAAATCCTTGATGTTTTCGAGATATGATGTTTTTTGTGATTTTTCGAAAAATTTCCAGAAAACTTAACAAAAACATTTAAATTCAAATCTTGAAATTCTCAACTCTGTAGTTAGTTGCTGTCAAATTACTCTCAAGGATTGCGAATCTTGCCTCCAAATGAGACGACTCAAGTCCTTGTAGTTTTCGAGGTATCGCGTTTTTTTGTGACTTTCAAAAATTTTCAGAAAGCTTGATTTATTTTTGGTTTTTTAAATTTGAAATTCACTACCCTTTTTTGGGTACTGTCAGGGTACTCTCATGGGTTGCAATTCTTGCCTCCAAGTAGGTCGCTCAAATCCTTGTAGTTTTCGAGATACGACGTTTTTTGTGATTTTTCAAAAAAAAATTAGAAAACTTAACGAATTTTTTTCTTCGGAATTTGAAATTCGCTACCCTGTTTTGTGTGCTGTCAGGGTACTCTCAGGAGTTGCAAATCTTGCTTCTGAATATGACGGCTCAAATTTTTGTAGTTTTCGAGATATGATGGTTTTTAGGTTTCTTCCAAACGTTTTCAGAAAACTCGGATTTGAAATAATTCAAAAAGATTTGAAAACTTTTGGAAAAAACCTAAAAAACCATCATATCTTAAGCCCTACAAGAATTTGAGCCATCATATTCAGAAGCAAGATTTGCAAGTCCTGAGAGAACTCTTGCAGTTTCCATCTTTAGGACTGAGATCTTCAAAACTAATTTTTGAAAACTAAGTTTTTTGAAAACTTTTGAAAAACTCATAAGAAACGTCAGATCACAAAAACTACAAGGATTTGAGAAGTGAAATTTGGAGTTAAGACTCGCAACGCCTAAGAGTACTCTGACAGTCCCCAACTTCAGGTTCAGAAATTCCAAACTTTGAAAAAAAAATAATAAAATTTAATTTTTCAGAAAAATTTTTGAAAAAAAAAATCATAAAAATCTTCATATCTAGAAAATTGCAATATTTTAAGCAGTCAAAATTGGAGAAAAAACTCACAACCACTAGAACTGCGCTGATGGAGACTCACTATAGAGACGGAAACTTCAAAAATTTCGAGCATTTTTATATCTAAGTTCTTTGAACATTTAAAAAAAACACTAACATCACATCTCGGAAACTAAAAGCATTTGAGAAGTCGAATTGGAACACAAATTTTGCAACATAAGCTTCTAAGAGTATTCTCACAGTATACAACTACAACTTTCAGAAATTTAAATCTTTTTACAATCCTAGTTTTCTGAAAATTTTTGGAAAAACCAAATAAACAACATATCTCGAAACCTACGAGGATTTGAGCTGTCATATTCATGGGCAAGATTTGCAAACCCTGAGAGAACTCTCACAGTTTCCACTTCAGGATTGAGATCTTCAAAATTTATGAATTTTTTTTATTTAAGTTTTTTGAAAATTTGGAAAAATCATAAGAAACATCATATCTCGATAACTACAAGGATTTGAGAAGTGAGATTTGGAGGTAAGACTCGCAACACCTTAGAGCAACCTGACAAGACCCAACTACAGGGTTGAAAATTTCAAATTTTGTGAAACTTTTCAAACTGAAGTTCAGTGCTAGACCCGTAATTTTAAATACCCGGGTATTTTTATTACACTTATTGAATATGAATAAATGGGAGCGATGGATAAGTTAGTTAGGACCTCTAAAACAATCTTGGAGCTCTGCTAAGTGCATTTTGATTGGACCAAAGCAACTTTCGTTTTTGGAACAGGAAATTGCTTAAGTATCATAACAACAAAAACCACCAATAAAGTTGATAAAACATATGCTACTAAATTGTCATTGTTACAATGCTATGCTGCAAAAAGGGCAATTCGGAGTTAGGTCGGAAAAATGAATTCAAATTATAACACAAACATTTGCTTGTATTCTCAGAAACTGGACCAATATGAGTAATGGCAATTTCCGCTTCAATTTTTTCACTTTTTGATTGGAAAGCATGCACAATCGAGCAAAGTACAAAAATTATTCACAAAACCTTAAGCCTGCACTATTTGCATAGCAATTCAAATTCAACACAGAGATGAAGCCACAAATTCGCAACCAAGAGCGAGAAAGCGGCGAAAATTCGGATGGACAAAAAAATCATAGAGCACAAAAACTCAAATTTTGCACGTAATAAACTAAAGGCCACCACACTAACTTTGCATGCAAAAAATTAGAAAATATTAAACCAACTGGTGTTAAAATTAAACTATGCAGTAAAAATTCTCTCAAAAAATATGTATAGGGAAATTTCTGAAATGGAAGTTTATTTATTATACTGTTCAGATGTCAAGCACATGTTTCTATACTGCTAATGCATCCTACTGATTCAAAAGTGCCACCAAAAGTAGAAATTTCTTTTTCAACTTAGATTGAGAAAAAATTGCATCGTACTATTACACAACGCTACGCTCATATAAATAAAAGTAACTACATTGAGCTGCGCATTACTTGCGATACAACACAATCATAGAAATCATAAATCCAAAAAAAAAGAGAAGTGTTAAAAAACGAAGTGAACCAGAATTTAAATTTTCATATGTCTCAATGAAACTCATTCAAGGCAGAATGGAACAAAACTTAAAAAGAATCTTTTAGCAGACAGCAGTTCAGCCGAAAAAAAAAATCATAGAAAATTAAAAAGTTTCAAGTCCCCCCTAAAACTACATTGTACAATCTTTGGACTTGTAACTACAATGAAAGTTGCTTACAGCAGAAGCAAAACCCGTGTGACAATTAAGCCGACAAATCTTCAGCAGACAAACGAAAATCAGACAATTCAATTTTACAGGAAAAAAATTGAATTGCCAACTAAAAAAAAACAAGGTAAGGCCGGGTTTCGAACAGCGTTACATCTAGACCAAGTTGGAACGAACCTGGAAGTTGCTATGCTTCAATAAAAAGCAAGAAAGAGTAAAAATAAAATTGTTTATGAGAAAAAAAGTATAATTCCCGATAACAAGTGTAATACAAACTACCCATTAAAGCCTCTATACGAATTTGCGAATCATTTCATCGGACAGCAACGCCAGGAACATCCTAGAAAAATTAGATATAGATCTCTCAAAGGCAACGGACTATTGACAAAACCATTTATGCAAAAAAGAATGCGGCTGAGAAATTTATGGCTAGAGATTGCAATCGGCTATCCTTGTTGTTCCGACTACTGAAAATGGGGAGCAGCGTTGTAGTTTTTTCTTTTTCCTCTTTCACGCAACATGAGGTTCCACAAATAATCGTCGGAGGATCTTGAGTGATATATATTTCTAAAGCCTTTGCAGGTATAATTTGAACCCTATTAAAACTTTCAAAAAAGTTTCGCGGTGAAAAAAGCGGATTTATTTGTTATAATATTTGGTCCAACTTCGAGCAAAAAAAGCGAGCAATCAGGTCTATAGAGAGGCGAAGCTTCGCTTTAAAAACACTAACGAGAGTGCAATATAAAGCCCAATAGGAAAAATTAGAAATAAGCCTAGACATTGAAATTAGTAAAAATTCGGCTACGTCTCGGGTTCGTACCTGCGACCTAGAGATTATGAATCTCACACACTAACCACTCAAGCACGGACACTTAATAGGCATCAAACACTAGCCACAAAAAAGCAGAGAACAAATGAAATGCTATTTCCAATGCTGCAGTAAAAATTCCAAATAAACGAACACTTCTATTTGCGAGTTAGCTTAGAAAAAAGAAGGCTCGTAAGACACAAACTGATGCTTAGTGTAATAATACAAAAGGAGACAAAAAAACTTAGTTTTATTCCAGGAAAATCAATTTTTTGCTTCTTTTAGCGCCTTGTTGAAAGCAAAAAAAATCTGCTTAAAACTTGACAAAATACAAAATTGTTTTTTTTTGATAAATTGTTTCAGACAAACTGTGGTCAAATATATTTACAAGGCTGTCGATTAGATCCGCTCATAGCCGTAAGAACAAAAACTTCACAATTTGCAAAAAAATATGAAAATGCTTTTTTTTTCAAATATTTTCGTAGTCGAGCCTTTCTCTGCTACTTCCACGGCAATCGGCTCTCCTTGATCTACTTTGTTTTAATATCGTTCTGCCTCTGGGAAACCTGATTTAACTTTTAATGCCCGAAGGTGGTATATTTTGGCTCAAACCAGTAGTAAACAAAAAAAACAAGGGAAATCTTTTCAATGATCAAACTTTTTTCAAATTTTGGTACAACTATCCTTATGAAAAAGTAATTTACACAAATAAATTAATTTAACACCATCCATTTAAATTAGGCTGGATAACTAACTGGGTTCATTAGTTATATTAGAAAGCAGAGTTGACTCGATTAAATCAATTTCATATTGATAACAATCGCCATTTTCCGAGTTCATGTCCGACTCTGTCGTGTCTGATTCAATTGAAGGTGATGAACTTGCTTGTTTGTCGTCCATTTCTTCATCATCATTTTTGCTTTCTGTTTCAATCTCTTGTTCAGTATCACAACCTGTAGCACCGTTTTTCAAAGCTCTGGAACCTGTAGTATCCATATGTTCGCCAGTGATTTTTTTCTCTGATGTAATATCTTCAGTTTTTTCTGGCACGCTCACATTGTTGCATGCATTTTCTGACCCAATTATTGAATGCACGTCACTTAATGCTACCGATTCGTTTGTTTGTTCCGGCTTAGCTTCTTTGAAGTTGTTTCGAGGACTAGGGTACCATGACGTTTTCAGAGATTTCGTGTGGTCAAAATTTTCAAGATTGAACTCTTTCTCGTCAACTTTGACCCACTTTTGTGAACAAGACCACAACCAATCAGGGTTCACAATTTTGATGTTGCGACTCGATTTTCTAGCTTGGTGTACTTTGTGGGTCCCTTGTCTAGCTGCAACAACATGAGTACACTTACTCAGGTCCATAGTCTCCATCACAGTAGCACCAAGAGACTTCGCCTCTAAGTATTCCCGACTGTTGCCTATCGGAAAATTAGTCGGAACAACAGCACTGAATACTAATGTACAGTTTTCTATTACTTCGCGTTTCGTCTCGTTAATGATATCTTTCACGTTTGGAATATTAGGTGGACCATTAAAACAACTTTTGCAATTATTTTCGTATCTTTCGTAAAATTTGTGATGAACTTTAAGCAGAATGTTTTTGAGGAAGGGCAAAAACTCGTCATCGTCTTCCCAAACTATCTCCTCATTCTCGTCAGAATTCGAAGGCATCTCGAAATTCATGTCTATGAGACATGACTTCAAAACTCCTTTCCCAGCAGCAAGCTTAGCGGATCTTGAACAAAATAACTTATTGATTAGAATCTGATTCAGGAGACAGTTATTTGACTCAAATTGAAATTTAAGAAATTACCAATGACTGATAATTGTATGTTAGAATATGTATCCCGTTTCTCCGAACTGATTATGCATTAAAACAGTTGTATTCAAATAGCTGTTTCATGGTTGCTTTTCGCTGCTCATCGATTTAGCAGGAGCCAACTTTACCTCACTTCCAATAAAACACAAAGATAGCATAGCAGCCAGCCAAAATAAACTCAGAGGAAAGCTAGAGTCGAAAAACAACATCGCCCAAAAACTTGAAAAAACTTGTTGAGAAACAGGATCGCAAGCGTTGTATAAGCACTAAAACCAAGACTATCGAGTGGTAATTAAGCAGAAAATGCTTGAGTCGACGCTCGTTGAGCCAGAAAAAAGTCAGAAACAATTTTGGAGCTATGAGAACTGTTAAATTTCCGCGTCTTATGTCATCCCCGAAGCACATAAAAGTATATAATCTAGTTACGACGTAATAAGAGGCAGCTAAATCAATATGATATAAGCCAAAACCATTTGAACCCAGTTACTTGCACAGATTCCGCTCAGGCTCAAACAACAGACATTTGTCTATTCCTGGGCGATACCTCTAGGCTATAAAGGGCCGAATTTATTACAAACCAAGGTGCCAAATAAAATACCAATTCTCTAAGACAAGTTGTTAACCGGAAAAATCTCAGATTCCTAAAACACTATTTAACAGAAAAAGTGTTTTCTTAAGATTTGAATTATGGAAACCTCAACTAATATCGAGAACCTTATTAACTCGATTCCCGATGTAGCTACCGAGAAGGCAGTGCGAGCGGTGGCTAAGCAGATATGGCACAACAAGGGGGCAAAAATGAGAAAAATATGGCGGAAATCTTGAACTTCTGTCAACGTTTAGAAAGAAGGTTAAGGGAACAAGCAAAGACTCAATATTATTGATAACCCCCTTTTGACGCTAGAGATATTGGGAAACTGTTGGAAGACATTGTAAATTTTTGTGCAATGGATTAAAGTGTAAAATTGCGGGCAATGATTTGAAAGCTTTTCAAATTTTCCCAAGACCTAAAAACCCCAATAACGCTATAATACAGTCAGTTATAGTGAAGTTCATATACTTTCATCATAAAAACATAGCGTATGGTGGAAGACGTCATTTAAAAGATAGAGGTAAGCATTTTGATTCGAAAAAGTTATGGGTTCAAAAAATATAGATGCCTTTCTGAAAAAACTGTAAAATCTATAAACATGATTGCTGTTACCAACAACTGTGCTGTTTCCATACTATGTAAAAGTGACAATGGCAGAAATGTATATGTCAAATGGTTAACCCAGATGATATTGGAAAACTGAAAAATTTTGTTAGCAAAGAAATAAAATAGGGGACAAAAACTAAATCATTTGAAAAAGCTGGAACGAACACACGGTTTTTTAATTAGACGACAATACACTGATTTAGATGTAAAAGATCCAGGTGACTACTAATATTGAAGGCGAACCCAATTTCGCGTTCGGTAAAACATTATAGTGCACGGCTGCAACATCCTTATTTCTGACGAGTGTAGTTAAATGAAACCTGCAGATATCTACTAACACAACAATTTCAAAAAAAAAAATCTTCTTTAAAAAGTATACCTTCTATCGCAATAAATTTTCAGCAGACAGATACTTTTCCAAATAATTTATCTTCTTTTGCATTTATTCTTCTATCTTCTTATTAAAATTTTGAACAGAAATATATAGTTTTCTACCCTTAAAGACAAATTTGAACTGCTATATCAACAAAACAGTAAATCTCTTTCTATAGCCTTACGTGATAGATATAATTTGATTTCCTTTGTGGTTCAGACAACTGTCAATTGTTTAAATTGAAATTCGTACCTTTCACGATGCTCCGGTGTATCATTTTTATCTTCCTTGACTGCTGACTTCAATTCTGATGGAGTCACATGAAATACCATTGCATCCTCACTGCATCCATTTTTCATCATCATACAAGTTTCATCATCATCGTCCAGAAAAGATCTTCTTTTTCTCTTAGGCGACTGACTCGTTGATTCCTCGGGTTTGGTTGGATTCGCAGACTGAGCCATCTCAGTTGTACTACTCGTGAAATCTACCATCAAATTAGAATCATGATTTTCTTTCAACTTTTCAGTGTCAGCTTTCGAACTTTCTGAGCAAATATCCCCAGTAAAAGCTGTTTCTGTAGCTGCTGATTCTCTTTCATGGGTCTCTAAACTGACTTCCGATTTATCCGCAGGGAGACTAAATCGCACTCTTTTTGCACTTGACTGAACTTCGTGATCCTCGCCACTTCGTGGCGCTTTAGAAATGTCCCCAGCGCAACTACCCAAGCTTTCCGTCACAATTTTTTCCGTAATTAATTGCCCGGATTGCTGATTATTTTGAGTTTCGTCACTGTCTTTTTTTAATGGCTTTTCGTTGTCATTATTTTCTTTCCTGATGTCTGAATGTGCGGTTGATTTTGATTTCTGAGTTTCTGGTGTCTGTTTTGGTCTGCCCTTTGGATCGTTTATATCTCCAGTCGAAGGAAAAAACTTGTAAGCCGGAACCTAAAGTATAGAAATTTCATGAGGATAAAAATCATTGAATTTTCACTTTTATAAATATTTCAGGAGACACAAACCTTAATCACATTTTCATTGTACCTCCACACATCATCTCTATCATCAATAATGCAGACCATTTCGTCTCCCACTGGGAAAAGCGATGAAATATTTGCTGTTTTGTCGCTGCCAAACAGGTGAATTTCATCTCTCGCCATTATTCTGTGATGGAAAAATTTTTCCTCGGGATCCAAAATAGACGCTATGATATGCGCATAAAGTCGGACTCCAAACGTGATTATATGCAGCTCGAAGTACTTCGAGATCTCTTCTAGGAACTCATTGGTGCCTGGTCGTAGTTTAGTGTGGTACCAGGCACCGTTTTTCTGTAGCTGGAAATGATGCACGTCTTTGAGGTTTGAAGGTACATCATCATTTGTAGTGTGAATTAGAGTCTGATCTAGGTCTACGATTAGCACCAGTTTGCGAGCTTCCAGCAAATTGCTCACATCCTTGCTGGCAATGTCCTGAGCAATGTCTGATGAAACCTGAAGTTAACCAGCGTCAAAAGTACACACGTAAATATTGAAATTCAGCCTCAGGTTAAAGCCTTGGAACACACTCAAACAAAAGCTATAAAAACGTGTTTGAAACACAAAACAGACACTCAATATTGAGTGATAAACAAAAGGGTGATAATTTGCTATTTTACCATGAGTTCTGGCACGTTGTGAATCATAGAGACAGATGCAGAGGCCAGATTTGCACTCTTAGAACAGATTCCCTTAACCTCCGAGTCCATGTACTGGGGTTTGAGATCCTTCCCGCAGTCCGCGCATATCATTTTCACCACGATCCTAAAACAACTTTCAATGAAACCTTGCTTCTAAAACGTTTACACGCTCCGGGATTTTGAAAAAAGCATGCATCTTGAGCATACACAGAATCTTAAAGGTTTATTAAGGAAGCTCAGTATGTGATTGAGATGGTAAACTCCCTCCTCCATCAATTTGGCTACTAAACGAACCAAAAAGTACCTTTCGTCGCCCTACAAATGAAAGGCGAAAAAAACTTTGTGGAATCCTACTCACGGGTGATGACATGTCTCTGGCTCTATACACATCATTAAACTATCGGCCTCCAGATGTTGTCCGTTCGCCACAGCCAAGTCTTTCACGATACCGTTTTTTGTGGCCCGCAGCTTTTCAATGAACTTAGAATTATCTTCAGTTCTATACAGACACAAAACGGATCCCTTTTGAACTCTTGACCCACTTTTGACTTTTAGCTTGAAGACAGATCCTTTCTGTGGAAAAAGAATTTCACATGGGGTTTCTTCAGTCTCTTCCATTTGTAATTAATTAGCTGCATCTTACCAGTAACATGACACCTAAAATTGCCACACTTGCAAACAGCATAAAACTTTTAATATTCTTTTTACGAAAATAGGATCATGGAAATTTTACAGAAAAAGAAACCGTAAGTTCTGCGGCAAAATATAGCCAATTTCATCTTTATTTGAAGGACAGCATCTCAAAATAACTTTGAATAAAATCTAATTCCAGCCTTAAAGCAATTATGAAATAAGGAAAGCCGGTCGTTACGCAAGTAGCGCAGAATGATTAGACCAAACTGATATAAGAAAAAATTCTAAACTTTAAACCTTAAAATTATTTAAGGGTAGCTGAATTAGGAAAAATGCAAGAAATATCGGTATCTATAAACAAATTAATGTTATATTGAGGGTCAGATCTATGATTTTCTCGAGGAGCGCGGATTTTCAAATAATTTGGAAAATTTTGTCGACTTTTTTTAGGTTGACTAAATTGATTTTCCGAGCTCTCCCAAAGCACTAAAATTGTTGAAAAAACAGGCCAAAAAAAAGGGTTTTTAGGCACTTTTTGGAAAATGTTGACCAAAAAAATCGCGTTTCCCTTCAAAATTGGTAATTATTGGCGACGAGGGCGCCTTTAGAAAAATGTTAGGGTCCGTCAGCAAAAAATGGATATCTCAAAACAGTTCAAAGGGGGACCCTTTGGGTCGACAGGGCTCGAATCCCTCAGGGAGGGGGTGTCCCTCCCCAAATCCGCTAATGATAAAAATTGGGAGGTCAGTCCCTTATCAACTATCCAAACTTGGTCTAATTGAGTCTGAAAAACGAAATGTTACATGAAAACTTTTAAAATGTCGAAAAATATATATGTCAGGATAAGTTGAATTTCAAGAACCCAATATGTATATATATATATATATATATAAAAACAATCCAATTTCAGAAACCGGTTCAGAATATATTTTACTATTTTGAACCGGTTTTCCTTACGAGAACTTGCGACAGTCCATTTTTAAAACTTAAATTCCTTCACAATTTTTAATGTTATTTGAATTTTTGTTTTTGGAAATCGATATGTGTTTTCTATTCAAAAAATGAATTTGATGTGAAACCCAAACAGCAAACAGACAGTTGGAAACAATGAGCTCGAGCAATAAAAAAAACTGAAAAACAAGAAAGATCTATTTCAAACTCAAGAACCTTTCACGATTGGAACTTTCTTTATAAAAATAATCCAAAAAAGCAATTGGATCAACAAGTATTTGTTCTGACCATCGAAAATAGGGAGGAACTTTGTATTCGGGTGTTTTTTTTTTTCGATTTTCCACGCAAAATCATGATTTTTCGTCTAAATTCGAGCCAGTAAAGCGAACAAGCACAATTATTTATGCTTGATTTAGGCCATTTACAAGAACTTATTTATGCTTGATTTTATTTTTATTCAAGTATATTAGTGTTTGGAGATTTTTAATACCATTTTGGAAAACAAATTTTATTAATTTTTTGTTGATTTTTTGATTGAGTTTTTTCTTGATTTTTTTTGGTCACTTTTCTTAAGATTCTGTTGTCCTGTTTCTCTATATTACTATGACTATCAAATATGACTAAATTATAGTTTTATGTCAGATATTTTTTTATCACACCACGAAGAAAATACACTTATTTGAAAAAGAAACTTTTTTCTCGTAGGTTTTTAAAGACAATGGTCGGAACATTCTGTGCTACTTGCACAGTAACCGGCTATTCTTGTTTTTATTCTACTAAGATTTACTTTTTTTGCGTCATTATCGCTGGTCATTGAAGAAAGTAATTGTTCCGATCATTGGAAATGGGTAGGAACTTTGGATTCGGGTTGGAACAAACAATCATCGGAATGGGTCGAGTGATATATAACATTAATAAGTTTATTTCCCAGCGTCGAAAAAACCGATATGAAGGTTTAGATTTTCGTCTAACTTCGAACGCATAAAGCAAGCGAGGAGGCTTGTAACAAGCTGATATTTAGTTTTCATCAGATCAAATTCGTTATCAAAAAATCTTCTAGAGTCTTCTTGGTAATCGAAAACTTTTTTGGATTTTTTTGTTTTTTAATTTAATATTCATTTTATGAAAAATTTTGTCAAAAAAGTTCTTTTTACTGTTACTATCGGTATTCAAGGCTTTCGCTTAGATTCACTGATCACACCAAAAATAAAATACGACGCAATTTGAAAATAGGCGTTTTTTGTACTTTTTTATTGAAGATGGTCGCAACATTCTTGGCTACTTGCACAGTAGCGTCTATCCGTGATTCAAAAATGAATTTGAATTGAACTGAAAAAAGAAGTCCAAACACAAAAAAAATCAAATAAACGCGTGATCAAGTTTAAGGACTTTTTCTGGAAAAAAATCAATGAACGAAAGGAACCAAAAAATGACATGCTTTTAGAAAAACTTCAATTTTTGAAATTCAAACAGCAAAACTATGACCATAAGGCTCTTTTGATTTCAAAACTAATTTAAAATTCTCCTTTTTTGATAAAATGATTTCAGTTTGGGATCTCACTACGCTCATCGACTTTCAATAAAAAAACTACACGATCTAAAGATGTAAACATAGCCCACAGATAGTAGGAAAATAGTCAAGGAACGCAAGTAAAAAAAAGTTAACTTGCTTTTCTGAAATAATCTTTCGACTTTCAAGAAAAAAATACATGCACTCGAAACTTTTGAAATTTTAAGAAAAATTTATGATGAGCACTTTTCAGATAAAAATAACTCAATGTGAAAAAACTGGATCAGTAAGTCAAAAAAATCAGTAAAATTGACTAGGAAACTGATATTTATACTCCATTTTGAAAACTAGAAATCGATCACCTTTTTCGGGACCTTTACACTTTCGCTGTTCAATAGCGGATTTTGCCTTCCTTTTAACAAAGGAAAGTAGCTGAATGTTATAAATTAAAAATCAAAGTGCGAAAAAGTACTTTGAATTACCTTCAGTCTGAATAACGTTCATCGACTCTTAAAATATCACTTCTTTCATTAACACTTAATCAAAAATCAGCCGCAAACAAATTAAGCATCAATTTTGAGCGTGACAACTTTCAGGACTTAATTCAGAAAATAAGCACATTAAACAAAAAAGTGATATATCTTATCGTTCATCACAGTTAATTAGAGGCGCTTTTACCGTTTGTTTCGAATGCTTTTTAAAAACTCCTGCAGCGCGGAAATTGCGGTAAACTAGGACCTCCAAACTGTTTTGATAATGATTAAAAAATCAGTTGAAAAATCATCTGAAAGAGCTGGGAAAATCACCTAAAAAGCTCAGAAATTCACTAAGGAAATTGACAATATTTTAACCTGCACTTACTAATAAAAATGTCAACAACAATTGTCATCCCTCTGTAAAATAAATAGAACTGATTTTCACTTAAAAAGCGGCTAATTAATTCTTCAATTGAAAGAGCCAACTTAGTAAATCTTTATTTTTCAATTCAAAGAAACAGTTCATTAAATCAATAGATACGTGTTAAAACATCAGAGTAAATTAACATCGAATAGACGCAATTTGTAGAAAAAATAAATATTTTTAAACATTTAAATAGTTTAAAAGTAAATGAAGTCACGCGACAAAATTTGTAACTTTTTGTTTTATTTCAACAAGCAAATCTACGAAATTTAGCTTCATGTTTTTGTTATTTTCTGCGCAAAAACTTAAAATATTGGTTTGAAATTTTTACACATGCTAGATAAAACTATTCGAAAGGAGTAAAACAGATCAAAATTTGATGAATCTTGTTTAGAAAGCGTAAAACAGCCAGTGTATTTTAATTAGTCTCAGAGGTGTTCTTGCTCTGGAATCCTCCTTTTAAACAACACAAGGAATTTAACTTTATGGTCCAATTGGCTCTTTGCGAAGCTGATGAGCTTGATTTTCTCTTCATGCCACGGAAAACGAGACAAAATCATTGAAAGACTTACTTGGTCCGGCATCTGGTTTGACGATACAGATAAAAATTGTTTGGGCACTTATATTAGAAAACTGGACCAACATTTAGACACAACATAACTGCGTATGAGAAACCTGTTCAAGGACTAAAGCAGATATTTTCCTAAACATTTGCTGAAACAGTTTTTTTATTGACTTATTTCGATCATCGCCGCCAAATTACTAACCATTTTGACGCCGGACCAGGAAATTTTTTCAATTTTTTGTCGTTTATCGGCGGCAAGAAAATTAAGTCAAATTTCTTGTTTATGTGAGGATGTGTCCACATCAAGAACAGCTCAAAAACCATATTTAAAAACTTTTACGCCTTCAAAACGAGATTTTCATAAGTTGATCCGGCTTGCTTCTTCCAAATAGATTCATCTAGTAAGAGTCAAAATTTCAAGACGATAAAAAATTCGCAGAGAAAACGACAAAAACGAAGAAAAAATTCGTTCGTTTGCTTGTTGAAATCAAAATGTCCCGTGATTATATGTCAAATTTATGTGACGATCCGCATTTCATCGACAGATAAAGCACGGTAAGCTCCATAAAAGTAATTTTTGTTATCTAACACTACGATCCATTTTTAAGAATCAAATTGAGAGCAACTTGTATCGAATTGAAAATTAACAGGATTAATGCATCATTTAATTAATTGCACATTAAGGATAGAAAAGTTAGACTTCTATATTTAAAATATAACGCTTGATGTGGACTTATTCTACTCATTGAGAAAATATTTACATCTTTAAAAATCTATCACACTATTTGACATCTAATTAGTCTTCTGAGTCCAATCCTGTCTACTGAGCAATCAAGTACTGCATGACAGATGGCGGGTTTGTGGAGTCACAGCGAAGAGCTTGCACCCTGAAAACATCGCATAAGGACAACGATTTTAAAAACTTCATATAGTTTTCTCTGATGAATAAACCATTAACTGAATCAAAATAACATGGAAGAAATACGGAAAACATTCGGATACACAATTCAAAATAGCTCGTCCAATTTAGAAACACATAATGATCATGCACACAGCAGATCTTTTTTGAACTCTCGGTAGATTTTTTCATTTAGCGTCTCACTCCATCTTTCATTAAATTTATCTTTATACAACTTTTTTGGCTGCGAGGTCATTTATAACTTGGTACAGAAAACCCATGAAACTTTTTAGGGGACCAAACTACAATGTAAAAGCCTGTTTAACAGCGGGATAGATGACTCGCTAGAAATCCTGTTATATCACTTCTACCGTTCCCATCACCAGATATAAACATCAATTTTATGGTGCAATCAATCAATTTACCAAGTTGAATAGAAATTCAAAACGTGTTTGTCATTGGACAGTGGACCCACGTGCCAATTTTCATGACAATTGATAACAAAAACAAAATTTGAAAAACTAAAAATCGCAGTTGAGAGAGGGAAACGGTAGAGTACCTGCATTTTAATTTGACAGATAGATAGTGTTGATTCTGAAATAAACCCTAACTGATTCATTTTAACATCGCATGCTTTGGATGCAGCGATTTGGAAAACTGTTCCTCTGCGTTCTGGAAAAATGCTTTGAGTTCGATATTTCATTTCTTTCTTGTCGTCAAGTTCTTTCCTTTCATATCTCTCAAAAAATCCCAAACAAATCATTCTGACGCGATGAACAGTTTTTAAAATATCTAGCATGTCAATCTATGGAGTTACGAAATTTCCAACCAACAAAATTATCAAACAAGACCAACCTGACAACGGTGCAATATGAGCTTATGCATGTAGAATTTCTCAAATTAGGCCAATATCAAACTCTAATTCAATGTTAAAAGTCCGGATTTTTCGCAACTCATTATAGCATGTGACTAAGACTGACAATACTAACGAGAATTCTATCGAGCAAGACTATCATATAATAATGAGCGGAATCCCTTACCACTGCTGACTACAAATAATCATCAAGTATTATAAATTTGGTTACTTGATCCATTTCATGATACAGTCATTGAGGACACGTTCTCTTCTTTTACACCAATGTACTTACTTATTCCTGCATTGCCGCAAAAAGCGCTGGATCTTTAAAGCAGCGTCATTTTCTCGCCTTCGTTTGGCACGTCGTCTAAAATGAAATGACGAAAATAGTCAACACACAGCTGGAGTCAATGACCTAGGAAACCGACAAAAAAACTATTAATATTGAATTTATGAAATTTTCATCTTTCGAGTTTCAAAGAAAAAATAAGCGTACTTTGAATTTGAAAATAGCCAACAAACAATTGGAAAAGAGTCAATGAATGCAAGTAAAGAAAAAATACATATGGCCTTAAAGCTCTTGGAAATTCTAGAACAATTTATGATAAACTATTTTTTGATAAAAATAACCCCAATTTGAGAAAACTGGATCAATATATAAAAATTATTTCGCTGGGAAAACTGATAATAAAATTTCATTTTCGAGGTAGGAAGTCAATCACATCTTTCGTGACCTTTACAATTTTGCTGTTCAATAGTTGAGTTTGCCTTCCTTTTACCAAAGGAAATAAAATGAAATTGAAAAGAAATCAAAAAACAAACCGCGAAAAAACAAATTTGAGCCTGAACAAAAATCAAGATTTTTCCTTTAAAAAAATTATCGCGACCAATAATAGAGACTGACCTACCTTCATTGATTCTTAAAAACCTTTAAACCTAGACATTTTTTACACAAAGGCGAAGTACAGTTCTGCAAATGCAAGCTAAAAACGACAACATAACTTCTAAAAGTGTCAAAAAGTGAAAAAAGGAGAAGGCACAACAAATGAAAAATATCCTATGTTCCGGAGTCGAATACCCATCCTGGAGATCAATGGTCTCACGTTCTAGTATCTGCACTATGAGCGCTTGTCACTCTTCAACTACTAGCCTCCAATAAACCAAGATAACAAGATATAATGTTGAGCAGCAAAAGTGAACCAGATATAAAAATTTTGCTGCAAAGTGCCACCTATTTTTTCTGCGACTTGATTTGGGAAAAAATGGAATTTGTTACAAGACTCTACGCTCATCTTGTACTGATTAAAACAACCCAACTTGAGAAAACTGAATATTTTTTCTTTTTATTTGGTTCCGCTGGGATATTTAAAAAATACAATCTAATTTCGAATCTCAAAATCAACTCAGAGGCAAAGCTGCACCTCACAAACACAAACAAAAAAATAACAAGATAAAATTTAATGAGCTAAGCATAAAAGGCGCATAAAACGCAGGACAACTCAGTCCAGAAAATTGCCTTTGTGCCAACTTTTCAACGTTAAAACCTATACGATAATTGATTGCCTACTAAACAACTTCTTGCATTTACGCATACCTTCTTACAAAAACTGTCATCAGAAAATTTAGCAAAAAACGTGCAATTTACGTAGAAATCTGATTTTTTTGTCATTTTCCCTTTTCTTACCGGATAGCGTAAATGGCTTCTTTTGGGCTAAGAAATTGTAACTTAAACGTAAGAAATGTAACTTAAGAAACCAACAATCAAATCATGAAAAATACATATTTATATATAGCGTTAGCAATCAGGCTTTCGGTGAATGACAAGGAGAGGGGTCTGATCCAGACATTGAACTGGATAAGAAATGCTGAGATAAAATAAAGTAAACAAAGCAGAAGCAAGGTAACCAATTAGAAAAAAATATCTAAGCCAAATATTGTATCACTATTTATTACAGCACATACGTTCGATTTATTTATTACAGCTTTTCTTACGTTCGATTTGAGGGCAAGCAAATGTTTGATCATTTAATTGTTCACCACCTAATTCGATCAATTACCCGTCAATGGGCCTTCAAATTATTTGTTTAGCTTGTTATTAAGTTTGCTTTGCTGTTTAGTCTAAATCAGACCCATCTCCCTTATCATTTACCGGGCTTCCCCTCAAATCGAACAAGAAATCACATGACCTATAAAGTTAACTCTTCTAGGTTTGCTGACAAAGTTCCGATATTGTAGTGAGGCAAAAGTGCACTTCGCAAAAAGACGGCAAAAGAGCTCTTAAGGTTCCAGAAAAAACTCCGGAGTAGATTAACCTTGAAATTGAATGGGTGATATTGGGAAATCCATTACATCAGCAACGCCTTTACAGCAAACAATAACACAGTGGCGAAGCAGCGCTTCGCAAACACTAGCGAGAAAACGACAAAAAACGGCTCTAAAAATATAAGCAAAATTAGCCTTGAAAACCAAAACCCTTTGCTGTGGAGGGTTTGATCCTACGACCGGGATACTTACAGTTTCCTGTCCTGGCATCTGGACCACGGGCCGTTGACAATTTCATAAAACTAACCATAAAGCAGCTACATTGCTAATAAACTGACAAGGTGATGCAGCAAAAGTGGCACCAAAAACAAAAAGACACAATTTTGCATGTAATAATTCGAAAAAAAAAACAAATTGCACGCATGCACATTAGCTTTGCATGTTAAAAATTGGAAAGCATAAAATCAAATATGTAAGAAGAATTCATTTAAAAAATCCGAGATAAATTGAGTTGGAAAAGTCCTGAAATCGAGTTTTTACAAAGACGCGAAACGGAGCACATGAACCAAAAGTAAAATAAATCAAGTGACTCTGTTGAACTAAGTGTTAACTCGCAAAAAATCTACATTCCGCTTTGATAAGGCTTGCTTACCGCAAGAGTAATTATGTAATAATGCTGTATACGAAAAACTTTTTCGTTTCATTTGATGAATCAAAAATGCATCAGCTGTGATAACTTATTACTATTCGAATGTCATGGCACATGCTATCAAAAAGCCGTAAAGATGCTATCAAAAGTGTTACCATTATTTGCGACTTAGGTAGGAAAAAAATACAACGATTGCAAAATGGACAAAAAAATCCTGAAAAAATTACCTGCACCAATAAAAACTTATCAAAGAGCAATCAAGATGCTAAAAGAAATCGAAACGTTTTGCGGAATCAAAGCCAAAAATTAGCAGACACGAAAAATTAAAACTTCCAAAAAAATAGGCAACACTTCTTGGAGCTTAATTTGTCCGAAACCGAAATATACTGACATTTTTTAAATTTGAAGTTAAATGCTCAAACTTTGGGCAAATTTAGTGCTCCGACAACTAAGTCGATAAAAAAGTAGACAAACAGAAGTCCGACGAAGATTTTTTTGAAACGCCAATTTTCAGCTCACAAAAAAGGGTCTTGACCGGATTCGAATAATTGAGCCTTGTCCTTAGAGACAAGTGCGTAAGCACTTACCACATGCGCAAATTAACCTCTCACTTTTGATTTTATATAAACCAAAAGTGAAATGATTCAAGTGATTCTGTTAAACTAGTTGTTAACCCGAAACAAAATCTATATTCCGGTTTGTAAAGGCTTGCGTAAGTATGTAATTGTTTGAAACAAAAAACTGTTTGAAAACACTACGCTACTAGCACCCTGCTGATTAGACCAGAGGCACATATTTCAAAAGTAACAACAAGGCAGCAATGAATGCGCTTAAATGTAGCAAATGTTGTTCCTGATGCTTAAAGGATACAATCAAATTTGTACAAGATATTCATTACCTGTAGTTCCTCTGAACTAGCAACACGGCTTGGTCAATGTCGTGTTTCGTGAGTCGAGACACGCACGAGGACGAGCGACGTCTGCTGTTGCCAGCGCGTGAATTTACCGCGTCTCCTCCTCCCATTACATTAGAAACTTTTGCAAGAGACATGGGTTTCTTGTTTGCTATTGAGCAATTGTTGTATTTGTAGCGTCTGAACACTTTCTGAATCAAGCGAGCCGCCCTGCACATTCTTTTGTATGAGAAATACTGTAACAGCATAATGTTAGACAACTCGAATTTCAAGTATTCTTGAAAATGGAAATTTGGATACATAACTTACCTGTCTATACTTCCGGAAGTAGCTTTGAATCAAAATAGCTGCTTCGATTTCTTGTTGACGCTTTTGCCGACATTGCTAGGACAAAGATTTTGATTTAAAAAAACTTGTCAAGTTAACTTAGTTTCTGATTCAACAAACAATCTTGTTATCGGATTTGATTTATTGTTTTGTGCACCTGCTGCTCAAGAGCACATGCATCAGGTTATATCTAGACTAGAAAGGATAATCTTACACAAAAAAATACAATTATTACCAGCTTATTTCCCTGTTTCCTTTTTACTCAACATAAACTCTACTAACCTTCGTTTTCACCTTAAACGGTAGTTGTTTCAGATGACATATAAAACTGATCAAAAATTTAAAACGGGTTTTAATTTCTTAAAAATCAAACTAACCTTGTATTGTCTAAATGCACTCTGAATTATCTTCGCACTCTCATAAAGAGTTCGCTGATCACTATCGGACAAAGTCAAACTGTTCAGTTCAGCCTCGACGTTTCCTCTTCCCTGGATAAACTCAGCAAGGTCTTCCATGGGCGAATCACAGTCGTGCGTCGCATGCTCCGAGTTAGGCATGCGGAACCGATCGCTGTCTTGATCTGAGGCATGATCCAAGTCGCTAAAATCGAACTCATCGCTGAACAAATCAAAGGAACTACAGTCACTTCCATCCAACCAATTCCACCCGTTGTTCCAAGAACGGAAGTTGTCAGTTCTTCGTGGCTCACTATTTTTCTGATCTCCTTCAGATAAGAAACGCTGCAAGTCGCTAGCTGTTTGGTTTGATGTTCCGATATCGTTAGAAGTTCTCGGACGATTTCCATTTGCATCAAATGCCGCGCTAAAAGCGTTCCAAAAACAATTTCAGTATAAATATGGGAGTGGGGTAATGTGGAAGGTAATTTTAATAAACATGAAGAGCTCAGGAGAAAAATAGAAGCCGCCATATAACTAACCGAACTTCCGGCGAGTCTTCGCATCTCGAGTTCTTGATTCTCTCAGGTATGGCTCGAATGATTTGCTCGGCCAAATTATACACCTTAAATGGAAATAAAAAATTACCCACGGATATTTTTCATATCGATATTAGTTGAAAGCAAGTTATGATAATTAGCATGGTCCATACATTTTGCAAAAATCACATATTAGTTCGATAACACAGGAGTCCACGGCTTTTTTTTCAGTCGATACCCATAAGGCCTATAAGGTTAAGAATATCCATTTTTACATTTCAAAATCGCAAGAGTAGCAAGGGATCTTTTTCTTTTTAAATCATTCAGCAATTTTATTGATTTTAAAATAACTGACTGGTAAATTAACATGAATTAGTAAAAACTCCAGACTCTAAACCGTCGATGACATGTTAAGATGCACTTATTCCAAGTATGACAAGCAACGTAAGCAATTACACTAGCCTGCGTATCTCCGGATTCCTAAAAGAAGCATTTTTAAAATCGATATCTTTGAATAAACTGTTTGACCAAAATCAAACGTAATGAGATTGTTAGAAAAGCATTGACGAATTGAGACTTAACAACATAGCCAATAGAAGTTGGAAAAGAGTCAAGAAACTAGACGAAAAAAAAAAAACAATCGTTTTTTGAAAAAACTTCAACTTTCGAATTGTAAAGAAAAATATTTAATATTTAATTTCAAAAGTGAACTGCCAAAAAAAGAGAACTACTTTTAAGGCATTCGATTTTAAATATAAACAAACAGCTTGAAATAAAACTCTTTTCAACATGAAAATTTAATATTCCAAATTTCAACAAACATTCTGCATTTACTTTACCTGAAGTGAAGTGGTTATGAAAGGTGAGTTCGGGACACTGTTCATCGAATCATCCCGGCGTGGCCTTGAAACTCGAGGTTGAGTTTGACCATAAGTTGCCCATTGAGACGATGTCTGAAATGACTCGGAATCCATAGCATCTGCCTGCGGAGGCGTGTACTCGGACATCATCGGAGCAGAACCGAGGGAACAAATTTCTTCGGAATCGTACTCCGAGCAGCTGCTAACGGTCTCTTGGTCGTCATCGTGTGATGTCGGGTCAGTGAACTGAGATGCATTTACCCGAATGTGGTCTGGAGATCGCTTCAAGTATTTCCGATGGATGCTGTTCAATTGTTCGGGAGCACCATCCGTCTCCTATAAAATAGCTATTATATTCAAGTTTATTAACATTTTTAGTTTTCTCTTAAAACAATCTATATGAGTTTAAAATAGAACACACAAATTTATTCGTCCAAACTTGCTGTGTTAGAGCGTAAAGGGGAAGCAAACTTCAACATCACATCCGGCTTTATCCACATCTCTTAGGAGTAAAAAAAAATCTCACTTATCCACATCTTCTCGAAGTAAAAAAAAATATTTTTTAGTAAAGAGTATTTTTAAATAAAATAAAAATTGAACATGATTGATTGATTTTGAAATTCCAGACAGTCTTAATTCTGATCCGAAAAGTATTGAAAAATCATATCTGTTAATAATTTATTACGATTGGTTAATATCAAAAATGACAACATCTTCCTCGGAAGGAATGCTCAATTATGATTGCTTCAAATCATAATTGTTAAAATTCCATAAAAAGTGAAAGCTCAATTCTGATTGATTCACTTTTCTTTTAGCTACACCAAATGGGATTAATTCCGTTCTTCGGTTCTGTAAATTGAATACAATAGTTCATGACATTTGTACAGTTTCATTTATTAAAATTCAATTTTTGTTCAAAGTAAGTGTAAATCTCCCTCAAACTTTTGGGATTTTATAAAACCTCCTATTTCCTATATTTTCTTAAATTCTTTCTTTCTTATTGAGATGGCGTCACTTAGAAGAAACGAGAGAGTTGCATATCTTGAGTGTGGCAGAGATTACACATGTCATCAAGTATGAATATGAAACCATCGCCAAACCTGTTGAGTTTTAAAGTGTCATAATTGAATTTTTTATACAATTAGCAGCGAAGAACTGAAATTTCCTATCAAGAGGCATTCCAAAACTACCTCAAAATCTTTACAATACAAGGTGTCGAATGCATGATGCGCAGCTTTCAAACAAAACTGACAAGCATCACGAGAAGTTAACTTTTTTGAAAGAAATAGGTATTTTAGCAGATATAAATCTTTTCCAAAAAATCGGTTTTTAGGACACAACAAACATTGTTGAAAAACATTACTTAACAACTTATATTCAAAAAGCGTTTTTGATAACTTGATCTTTTGCTTTTGTTCAAAGGAAATAACTGACGGAAAAACCAACGCAAGCAAGAATGCAGTTCAAATTATCGTGAAAATCTCAATAGAAATTGATCAAAAGATCCTTAATCTACAGTAGTAACTGCAAAGATACACTGAAATGTTAAAATTTTCACTATACGCATACTATAACCTATTGATTGGACACGCATGCAATAAATTGTTAAAGTTACTTTTTATTTATAAAACATCGAGTACTTGAACCGTTTTGCTGAATTAACATTTTTTATATAGTTTTGATTTGGTACATTTGATCAGGTTCATGGAATACCTCATTTTCTAAGCAGAAAATTGGAGGCTACTGCTGTGAGATTTCTGATTTTTTATGAAAACGATGGATTTCAAAAAAAACTTCTCGAAATCTGACATGAAAACGATGAAAACTTTGATGTTTTATCTGCCTTTTAACAATTCAAGAAAAAAATTTCCATGTTTCTGGTCTGAAAGTTCGCTTCAAAAAAAAGAAGTTGAGGGTAAAAACAATAAACAGTTATCTGATACAGAGACTTAAATTTGTATTTTTGAACGATTGTTCAAAAGATAGATTTCAACCTAAAAAGTGTTTACTCAAAATTCATTCAATTGAAAGATGGTAGGTAGAGCGGGAACCAAGGAAGACCTAACTTGAAGTGTATGGTAAAAACAGGTTGAAACATATTGGAATATTTATGGACTATGAGCAATCAAAAACTTTGCTTGATATATGATTACAAAACAGCTTCATATAAAATATAAAAGTTTTTAGGCAACTCTGTGAAAATGATAGAAATTTTTGTTCTATCTTGTGATGAATGAATTGAAATTCTAGAAAATAAGAGCTTTTAGGATAATTTATCTGCGATAAATCTACCTTAGAATTAAAAACGACCGGTTAATTGATTATTTTTTAGTGTTGAGTTTCAAGCACAAAACTTCTTTCGAAAGATATTAGAAGCAGAAACCAAGAAACTGCTTTCAAGGTATTCAATTACTTGAATTTTGAAGAAAAAACAAAAAAGTTCTGTTGTAAAAAGAACTGTGAAGAGTTTTAATGAGAAAAAAAACTAGATGGAAGTTATTCGAGAAATTAAAAGTGTAGATAGAATCACAAGCAAAAGATCTCAAATTTAACCGTTGATATTATTTTTGAACTGAATGGATTCAAGGAGGGACACTAAAACTTTCGTATTTTCGCTCTGATTAGCTCCAAATTTATTTCGATTGGAAAATTAGTTGGAACTATAGTCAAAGGCCGAAAACTTTTTTGCAAATCCAGCCCCCCTCCCACCTTCGAGAAACTCATAGAGCCACGCCTGTCGACAAAGCAAAATACCTTCCTACCTTGTCAGCTAATGTCTCAACTAGGAGAACATGCCCTCTCATTCTAGCTATCATCAGAGGGGTCAGGTCCAATCTATTCTTTGCACATAGCATCTCGTGACACCAATTGTGCAGAATCAGAGCACATTCCAGATTACCTCTGGCACAGGCCCAGCTAAGAGCCGAACAGTGCTGGTCATCTAGGGTGGCCGGATTCAAGTCACTTAGTCCTCCAAATTGAGTGAGACAGGACCTCATCGTGTCAATAAGTCGAGGCATGCCAAGAGCTGCAGCTAGGTGGAGCATTGTAAGACCTCTTGGCGGCCTGGGTAGTTCTGTCATTCCATGTGCAGTATTTGTTTGCTTCAGGTATGCCAAGAGTTGCAAAATGAACGAAAACTGCCGCTCAAATTTCAGTTCGAAGCTGGCTCCGGCCTGTTAACAAAGTCAGGCTCCGTTGATTATGTTATTTAGATCAATGTATTTTAAAAAATCACCTAGCGCAAAACTATCTTGCTTTCATGTTTCTTTAACAAGTAGAGTTTGTCAGCAGAAATTAGCCCATACATTTTTTAAAATCAGATTTAAAATTTTTCTTTTATAAAAATTCGTATTGCTACTAGCCTCGAAACAAGGATGATTAACATTTCCATAGTCCTCTTGGCTTGAAGAAGAATGCGTGATTCTGTTTCCGATAAAAGCCATCAAATGCGATTGCATCTCATTCAACCGTGACAGGAGTCGGTATCTGAACTCATGGTCATTAAGTGCCAGCCAATCAGAGCTGTCTGATGTCATTTTGAACCAATCGCAGCCCTGTTTCGTACCAGGTTTGATCTTATATTCGAAGGGAACTGAATGGGTGACGAAAGTGTTATTTCTAGACACTGACAAAGGGACTATTCCACATATCGATTCTTAAAAAAAAACGATGTTTGGAACTTATAAAAGTCACATTAAAATTTTGAGATTCCAAGAACAGCCACTTACTTGGCGAAACACAGCGTAGGACACCGGGTAAAATAAGGGCTCCTTGTGTAACCTTTTCCCCAAAATGGCACTGGAACAGATCATTTTGGTTGCCTTGAGACCAATTGCCAGCAATCAGCACCTTCTCTCCTCCCTGTAACAATTAAAAACTCAGAAATCGATACAAATTTTTCCACAGCTCAACATTTTAAAGAGAAACACAATTCAAACCGCGAAAAAGTAAATTTGAGCCTGAACAAATTTATAGACTACTCCTGAAAAAAAATCATCGCGACCTAAATAAGAGTCTGAACTAAGTTCATCGATCAACTCGCTATTCTATCGGTTAGCTATTCTTTTTGTGATATTATACACCATTTCCATGAGCTTATATTTTAATCTGTAATGCCATATATTTGGCACAAAATCATTCGTATACGCACCTCTTCGTAACACCAACTAGGAGAATATTCTGTGATGTAGACAAGCCCATCAACATTTCCACTTATCAACCCAGACTGATCACTACTGCCATTGTGACATAAGGTTTTGTGCTGAGCTGCAGAACTCGCAGACGCTAGCTGTGTTATCTGCTCTGTGAACCCATCCATATGTGACAGGTCCGGCAAGTCCATAGTCGTGAACAATTCACGAGATGCAGAATCAGTATGTTCAGATTCAGTTGAAACCAATGAGTTTTCTTGTACATTTTGTTCACTTGCATTTATTTGGTTAGATCCAATGAGATCATAATTTGGAAAATAAGCCGACGAGTCGCTTTGATAGTTCGATGAAAAGGCCGAACATTGATTCAAGTTTTCGCCCTGCTGTTGCAGACTCATTTGGAAGTGACTATTCGATTCCATAAACATCGAGGCGCAAGACCCACTAGACATTGTTCCCACGGACGAAACTTGACCTCTGGAGGAAAAACTATCGCTGTGGAACGAGGATAAATCAAATGCACGAGCTAACGCACTGTTCCGATTATACGTTTGATTCTCTGATTTGCACAGGTTGCTGGGATTTTCTAAATTGTCCATTGTGTTTAATTGATGATAGAAAACGTCGGGTGAAATATCATGTGATTCGTTGAAACCCGACCCTTGATTGGGATGATAAAAATTGTTCTCACAAGTACTTGGCAAACAGGAAGAATAAGAGCAGCTTAGATCGTTCACATGAACGCAACATGAGCAACCATTATTAGCTGTTTCATCAAAATATCCAGCGCGAAGTGTCCCTGATTTTGGAATTTCAGAAGTAATAAAGCAGCAATGAGCTTGTTGCATCGGATCCGAAGCTGACACAGTCGGTGGCTCCGTTTGAGACAGAGGGGTTTCCACGGCTACAGTTAGGGGTGAAAATAAGGAGCTTGGCGTTGACACTTTGTAAACATTTGCACTTTGTTGATAACTTGAAGATGTCTCGAACGTCGAACTTTCCTGTACTATTTCGTCTACTGTTTGTGTACCCATTTCGCATTTTGATGGCAATCTTTTTGATACATCGGTCGGTGATTTTTCTATCAAAGTCGATGATACCACTGAATATGATACTCCGGGTGACTTAGCAGGGTTAATAGAGCCACTTGATGACACATTCAAAATGCCAGAAGAGTTCGGCGATTCGGTCTCATTTTTGACCACCTTTAGAAGTGGTTGAATATGTTGCACATTTAACACTACTGGCACTGAGTTGTGACCACTTAAACTTGACACTCCGACACAAATGGGTCTGAACTTGGACCTGTTACTGGACGGGGAATTGGCTGACGCAGATTGGAAAGATAGATTCGAGTACGATGCAGCTTTCTGGTATCCGGAAGCTTAAAGAAAAAAAAGATTTTTTTTTCCAAATTGGACAATTTCAGATGTTTTTTTTCTAGAGCAATAAGATTGAAGCATGGCCAATCGAAGATTGGAAAAGAGTAAAGAACGAAACACTACTTTCTTGAAAAAATCTCAACTTTAGAATTTCAAAGAAAAAAATAGATGCCCTTTAAGCTCTTTGAATTTCCAGAACAATTTATGATTTGTGGTTTTTTGATAACATTAACCCAACTAGACAAAACTGGATCAATAGATAAAGTTTTTATTCCGTTGGAAATCATTCACGTTTTTTTAGGCCATTTCCAATTTAGTATTTGGAGAGCGCTATTTACGCCACTTTCAGCAGATGAATTTCAATTGAACTCAAAAAGTGCATATATACCTCAGTGCATTAATCAGCAAGACCTATATAAGAGTCTTCACTACGTTCATTACTCTTTATCAGATTTTATTCAACCTTTTTGCTTTGTTGGACTCGTCGAGACTGCAGGCGAATCCACAAATTTGCTCTGATCGTCCAGAAGTTTATCCACCAATTCTTCCACACTGCTGACATTATCCGGTAGGTTCAACTGATCATCTTCCGCATCTTTAGTACAGCTATTGATGACTAAAAAATTCGACCTCATTTTGATCAATCCAGATCTCCACCGCATAGTAGAAATACATTTACCGCATAGGATAGTAAAAAAAAGGATGACAAAAAATCCGGAAAAATTCAAAAAAAATTAGATTAACAAAAAGTTAAAAAATCATCTCGTCCTCAAAACACACACACACAGCTTGTCGAACGACGCAATATGAGGCCACTAAGCCAATATAAAAAAAACCAAAATTTATTGACCCGAAAAAAAAGGAAAATAAAAAAAAAGCCGAGAAAAAATTCAAACAAATTAAGACTAATAAAAAGTTAAGTCCCCCTCACATTCAAAATACTTACACAATACTTTCTCGATCGTCAATTGATATAACGCAATAGGAAGCCAGTGAGCTGATCTAATGTAGGCCGACATCTATCAAGCCGAAAAAAGGAAGAAACAAAAACGGGAATAAATGAAATTTTACAGAGGCGAAGCGGAGCTTCGCATCACTTGCGATACAACTCAATCATAAAAAACCATTAGTCGAGAAAAAACGAAAAATGTTGAAAAAAGTTAGGTAAACCAAATTTTTCGCATGTATCGATGAAGGACACCTAGGGCCCAGCTAAAGCTGGATGTACGTGTTTGATATTTTTGAATTTGTTATACTGATGCGGGACGAAACGCGTATTTTCAAAAATTGGAGTTTGCCCAAATCCTTAGTTGTTTCTCTAGTAAAATAACAAAGAAGAGTGCAAATTTTAGAGATTTTAGAAACTTTCAAAGACATAACTTTTCTCTCACAAAAAATTATGGAGTAGCCGCTTTTGCAGGAAAAAATCGCTCAACCGCTTCTTTCGATAGAAATTTTTAATCTCAGCTTTGATCGAGTAGTTTTTAAGAAAATTTAAAGAGTTTCTGAAAAACAATCAAAGTTCAAACACTTGACTTTCCGAAATCCGTAATTTTTTTTGTGCTAAAAGCAGGTCGTGTCCGGTAAATTAGAGAAGATTCCCAAAATTCAGTTTCTGGATTGAACACTTAACCTGAAAATTAACACGGTCATTTTCGAGTAGAAAAAAAACTTCCAAAAACACTTCCAAAAAGTTTAAAAACTATTAAATAAATCAATTATATCAAAATAAATCAATTATTTGAAAGCCATAACTTTTCTAAAGCAAAATGGTTGTAGCAAATTATAAAAATAAGCTTCCAACAACCTGTTGTGTCGATTAAACCTATTTTATAAAATTTTGAAGGATAGTTATCGTGAAAAGTAAAAAAAAACGGTCAACACATTAGAAAGTTGACATTTCCGAGAATCACAGCTTTTTGATTTTAAAAAATGGGCGTAGCCACTTAGTAGATATTCGAGTAAATTAGTAGACACAACCTGTAATTTCGATTGAAACCAAAAACTCAACTTAGGCAGGATAGTTTTCCGACGGCCACAAATTTGTATGTCAAAAAAATATGGGCGTAGTCGCGTATGCCAAGGAGCTTCTCACAAACCGATTAAATGAAGAAAAAAACGGTCATAAAAATGAACGTTTCAAAGGACAGTGGCCGTAACGCTAGGGAGCTTACCACGACCCGTTAACGCAATTAAACTCACAACTTCAGGTCTGGGAGGTTAGCTTTCGAGAAAAGTTAAAGATTCAAAAAACGGTAAGAAAAATCAAAGTAATGACAATTTCGAGGGCCAAAATCTCATGTGTAAAAAAGTTTTGGGCGTAGCCGCTTATAGAGGAGAGTTTTTAAAATCCGTTCTATTGAAGTAATCCGCAATCCCAGATTTAGTATGTTAGTTATAGAGAAAACGAACAGAATGAATATACGGGTGAAACATTACCCCAGACTTTTTCTAAGTCTTTAGACAAAGGGGTGAGGCGAAAAGAGACGAGGGGAGTATGCAGGCATGCAAAAATGTAAGCAGTCTTTCCATGAATACCCTTTGTGAAAATCTGTAGAAGGGGTTTTCAGAAAAACAGGAATTCTAGGCAAATATGCCAAGCAAGACCTTTGAAATTCGAATTAGCAACTGAACAAAAATTACGAAAGGGAATGAGAATGAGCATGAAATTGGGCATCTCATAGCAGCATCATATGAACCACTGATTTTTTAAAACTAGCTGTTAACCCGAAAGAAGTCTACAGTCCGATTTGATAAAGTTTGCTAATCGCAAGCGTGGACCATTCGGCTTCGTAAAATGACAACCACCATAAAAAGAAAAATTTTAATAAGACAATTAAAATGCCTACTTGCAGAAAATTGCCCGAAGGCGGTAAATTTTTTTTAACAGAAGCTTCCAAGGAAATGAGTCCAGGTGCAAAAGTCCTGTGAACACTGTTACTTACGGGAAAAAAAAGTCCAGTACCCAATAGCAATACCCTTGCTTATCGCAAGGGTAAAAAGTGATAGATATTCATCGTATGCGAGAAACATTTTCATTTAATTCGCCAAAAAATTAAAGCACAGAGACGAAGCTGAGCGTCGCACCACTTGCCATACAAAACAAGAAAGCCGCTAAGTCGAAATTTTTTTCTAAATTTCTAAAATTCTAAATTGTCGAAATTCGAAATCTATCTAAATAAAAAGGCTAGTTTTGAAACAAAAACATGCACAGACAAAAGAATGTAAGAAAAAAAATCATCGCTCGAATAAAAAATAGCAAGAGGTAAGAAAGCGGAACATACCTTAGCAGAAGCCCTTTAGCCCGGAAAAACTCCACAAGACTTTGAGTCCCCGCCCTTTTACACACGCCCAAAAATTTTTTTTTTTGCTTGTCAAATGAAACAATATGAGACAACTAAGCAGATATAATAGAGGCCGAAACCTATTCAGCCAAAAAATAAGAAAAAAAATCCAAAAAATACTCAAAAAAATTTAAGACTTATCAATATTATCAAGTCCCCCCACCCTCACAACACACACACACACAAAGACTTTTTTTCACTCCTATAATGACGCAAAATGAGGCCACTAAGCCGTTATGCCGAAATATAGGTTATACCTAAACCTATCATGTCAAAAAAAGTACAAAAAAATGAATTTAACAAACCGAGTTGGTAAAACTTTAACTAACATATGAAACAAACTTCGAGTGGTCACAACCACAAAATATATCTACAGCGGTAAATTGTTGCTATCACATTAATCGAGGTTGCGCTCTAAAAATCGATTTTTTCCAGGTCGACGCAATTGATTTTGTGAGCTCTCACAAACCAACCACTATAAAGACCTTAATTAGACCAAATATTCTATATGAGGAATTTGCAGTCAAATCCACCTAATCTACTTTTATTTAGTTCTAGGCTTTTGTTCAGATTGTCTTATGTCACCACGAACAAAAAGACGTAAATTTAAAAGAAACTATTTTGACATATTGATCGACCAAACTCGACATCAATAGTCGGAACTTTCTGCACAGCAACCGGCTATCCTTCTTATTTATGTAATTATTTAAGTTTCGACGCCATTTCAAAAAACATTGGTTATTGCTAGAAACAATCGCCGAATTGCAAAATACAACATATACACTTCATTGCCTACCATTATACGCTTTAGCACAAAAATAGTCGTCGCAAAACTATACCGAAAGGAAACCAACTTAAAAAAATTGTCTTTTAACTTTACCACAACCCAACATATTTTTTTTCTTGCCTTCGGTGAAAATTAAGCACTAAGGAAGAGTGCACTAGCACTAAGCGCTACTGCTTCAGATTATTATGACTATTTTTTCTAAACCATAAAACAATTTTCACACTGCATCATTATTGAGCTAATGATTTCAAGAAGATAAAGAGGTTTTGAATCTCAATTAATGAAGAAACTTTTGAGTATTTTCCATCAAATGAAACTTTTGAGTCTTTCCCATCAAATGAAACTTTTGAGTCTTTCCCATTATAGTTGAGTGCACACACCGCATGCAGATCAAGAGATGGATCTCCCGAGGGACCAGTTTTGTTAAAATTGATCTGAATATTCATCACTGTCTTCGAAAGTCGAACAAAAAGAAACATTTAGAGACGAATAAGGAAAATATTGGAATCAATTAGCATGTCCCAATTCGATTTAAGAGATTATATCAGCGCTTTAAAACTTGGATTGATTCGCTGCGCTAGAATAAATCTCGCTCAGGCGTTGAGCATCATGCCTTAGAGCATAATCGCGGACTAGAAAACTGACAATTACCAACTTCAAAATTTCCAAAGCTTTTCTAAAAAAATTTTTATATTAAACATCGTTTTAATTTTAAGCGCATTTAATTAACACGGTGTAAAAAATGTCCCTAGATTTTTTTGCGCTACAAAAACTTTGCATTAAATATGAAGCCGAGCCTGAAAAAAAAAACAGGGGAAAACAAGACTGCTCGTATATTGCTAGCCTGAATGTTGCTAGCCTGAATCTTCTGACTGTCCCTTAATTCATATCGAAAAGTTTTTGAAATAATTCGCGTTAAGCTCTCAGCAATATGACTAAATTCTTCAACGCGCATAATTTAGTTCAGAACATGGCCAATTTGGCAACTTTTAATCCCCCAGAACTTTACAAAAAACAATTTGAGGTACTCAGGAAGTCAATTTGAACTCAGCAAAATCGATATCTTCAATGGGGTATGAAATCGATATCTTCAATGGGGCATGCATAAATATTCCATTTTCTTCGAAAGTCCGAATAATTAAACAACGCTCGCAAGTTTCTTAAATACTAAACAAGGGTACCCTGAGGCTGTGCAAGTATCACAGACTGCTACACTCACACAATATAAGGCAATAATTCCAAAAGAAAAAAAAACGGATTTTTAATTTTTTTGTGATTTCTGCTGTTCTTTTGACTCTTTAGGGCGCATTTTTTAGATTTCCAGAATTACTTGATAACTGAAATACAGAAGAAATCATTGTCACATAAAATTGGGAGTCATTAAAACTCTCTATCAGACCCTTACTCAAAAAATCAGTGCCTTAAAAAAATTTTTTTGTGACAACTTTTGAATCATCTTTTGGAATCCAAATTGGCCCGGTAGAATCAATTTCGCATAAAATCAAGGTTTCCCAAATCTGTCAAAATTGAAAACTTTCACTCGTTTGAAGGCCAAAACTTTTTTCTAAAACAATCTGGGCATAGCCAATATTAAAACTGGGCTTTCAACAACCTGTCACTCGATTACCTATGATATCAGATTTGGTAGGATATTTAGCAAGAAAAGTCTAAAAAACGGTCAGCAAATCAAAAATTTAACATTTCCAAGAATCATAGCTTTTTGCGTGAATAAGTTATGCGTAGCCAATTACTCAAAAAAGTTTCACGCTACCTATAGTTTCAATTGAACCCAAAATATCAGATTTGGGAGGAAAGTTTTCGAGAGAAGTCAAAAACTTAAAAAAATAATTTGTCCAAAAAATAAAATTTTAATTTTTCCGAGGGCCAAAACATTTGGAGTCAAAGAAATGGGCGTAGTTTCATAAGCAAATGAGCTTTCCCACAACCCGTTATGAGAATTAAAACCAAAATCTCAGATATGGCACGGTAGTTTTCGAAAATATTCAAAAAATTAAAGAAAAAACTACTAAAAAATCAAAGGCTTCACTTTTCGGAGGGCGATAACTTCTTGTGAAAATTGTTTTTGTGAGTGTCCGCTAATTCAGAAGAGGTTCCGACTACCCATTATTGCAATTGAACCCACAGTATCAGATTTGCTAGGTTAGTTTTCGAGAAAAGTCGAAAATATTCACAAAACGGTCAAAAATCAAAAATTTGACAATTCCGAGAGCCATAACTTTGTGTAAAAAAGTGGGCGTAGCCAAGTATGCAGGAGAGAATTTCAAAACAGTACTATTCATTGAAACCAAAAATTCACATTTGAAAGGGTTAGTTTTTGAGAAAATGAAAAAAAAATCAAAATATGGGTCAAATAATCCAGCACACTTTTTCGAAGACCGTAGACAGAGTGGTCAAGTAAAAAAAACTAGTGAAAATCGTAAAATTGTCTGAAAGAAACTAAACCTTTCCGAATAAAATTGAAAATAATTTTTTTCTAACGAAAACAAAAAGAAACTTCAACATACCGATTGGTAAATATTCAACCAACTTTAAAAGTGCGGAGTGAAAAGATAAAAAGACCAAAAATTAGGCCATTAAGCCGATAAAAAATAGGCCGCATTAATTTGGGCCGAGTAATAATTTTAGCGAAACAAAAAATAAAGAAGGAAAAACGAAGTCAAGGTAAAAAAAATTACAAATTGCAGGCGTAGTTGCATACTAAAAGCAAAAAATGCAACAAACACTTAAAGCTAAATTTAAGAAGAATGAGCGAATCAATTAAAAAACGATTCCAAGATGTGACAAATACACCGACAACAGATAAGCAGACAAATAATTGGCCGACAATTTTATTTGAATACATGTCTTTGTCCGATTCTAACCCAGGACCTTTGCCGTCACAGGCATATTCGTTACCTCCAGTCTAAGTTGGCCGGGAACGTTAATCAATTTGAATACATTAATAAACAAGGTAGAGATGAGACCAGGTGTCCCAATGAGTCCTGTGAACAAAGTTGTTCACTGCAAAATAAGTCTTGTACCCGATTACAATACGCTTGCTTATCGCAAAGGTAAACATGTAAAAAGCCTTGCAACGGGTTGCAAAAGTCTTGCCGATTGCATTTGTATACCATCAACATATATGTATTAATATTGCTATCATAAAACAGGTCAAAATATTCTATTGTTATTTGTCTGAGTGAACTTGTATGGACATTTTTGAGCTAAAAGGAAAAAATATATTGTCTTCTGACATACTTACACATTGGAACTATTTCGTTCATCAGCTCTGTTTTGTTCCACTGTCGGCTGGTCGGCCAGAAGTCTGGCCGCGATTCAAATGGATTCGAGAGCAAATGTCTCAGTGCCCAGGGATCATCCAAGTCATTCAAATAATGAACCAGGACAACATCCGGGTTAACAAACAGCCAGTATGACCTACAAAAATGAGCCATTTATTAGAAACTTTTATTTGCACCTGGTAGAACTCTTGTTGATCGGACTATTGAAAATGGAGACGAAATTTGTCTTCGGGTGTGCTATACTTTTTTATTGTTTTCCACACAAAATCAGGTACCGATTGATATATCACTAAATCCACCCAAAATCGAGTGATAAATCATATTAAAGCTTTTAAAATCACAATATGATACTCATAAAAAATTTCCAAAAAAAAATTCTCAGTCGAGAAAAAATTCTGTCGAGGTTTGATATTTCTGATATTTAGTCAAATTTCGAGCGAATAAACTAGACATATAACAGGCGTACAATAACTGTAGAATAGTAGTCTTAAAAATCAAGTTAGGCCGTGAAATCTTAGGTCTAATCTATTAAAATTAGTTTTCAAGGTTTTTTTGCGCCTTTTTGGGAATAAAGTTTTTTTGAAATCATAAAAATTTTCTGCAAAAAATTTTTAAAACGTTATCAAAATTTTTTATGTGATTCTATATGAGAAAAATTGCACCTAATTTACTGATAAAATGTACCTAATTTACTGTTATTATCCAAGTTCTAAACTTTTGCTCAGATTGCCTAATCACACCACGAACAAAAAACGACGTAATTTGAAAAGAAACGACGTGTTTTGAAATATTGATCGACCAAGCTTGACATCAACCGGCTATCCTTGTTTTTTATGCTATGAATTTGAGTTTCGACGCCATTTCAGAAATCATTGGTTGTTGCTAGAATCAATCATCGAATTGAAAAACTCAACCTATACACTTCGTTGCCCACCAGCGCAAAAATAGTCGTCGCAAAACTATACCGAAAGGAAACCAATTTCAATCTCATCAAAAAAATGTCCTTTAACTTTACCACAACCCAACTTAGTTTTCTTGCCTTCGGTGGAAAGTAGGAACTAAGGACGAGTGTGCGTAAAGACACTTGACCAGCTCGTAAGAATGTATTTTAAGGCGCATGTTGTCCTCGCGGGTCACACGGGAGTCCTTGCGCATCTTCCAGCAGTAGCCGTCCTTTTTGTACTTGGTGACCTTCCGATTCACAAGCAGCAGAGTCCCACTTGCAGGCCTAAAACAATAATAAACACAGACAGTAGCGGATTCCACCCTTTGTACTATTTTGAGATATCCATTTTTGACTGACTGACCTTGAAATTTTTCTAAAGGCGCCTTTGGCGCCAATCTATACAATTTTGAGGGGGAGCGCGCGCCGAAAAAACGCGATTTTTTGGTCGAAATTTTCCAAAAAAAAAGCCTAAAAACGCCTTTCTTGGCCTGTTTTTCAAAAATTTGCCTGCGGCGCAGAAAATTTGGTCAAATTACGGTCTTTATAGTGGTTTGGAAATCAATTCAGAAAATCAATTTGGTCGACCAAAAAAAATGAAAATCTGCCCGCCCTAGATAAGTCATATTACACAGATAAGTCATATTACACACATTTGCGATCAAAAAATATTCCCTAAAATGGAAAAATGGCCACGTTTTAAATTTTTATATAGCCATGTGAGAGTTTTTCAAGAGTCGCCTAATTAAAATTCATGAGACTCATATAATAATTTCATTCCAAGCGAAGAACTCATTGTGAAAAAGGGGAAAACTCTGACATTCTTTCATTTTAAAATATCAGATGGTCATTATTGATTTTCATTCAAAGAGAATACAGATATAAGCGGGAAACTGAGCTCCAAAAATTGCAAACGTAATATGAAACAGCTCTAGAATACGAAACTATTGACTTCGCAACTGCTCCATACCGTTTTGTATTGTCTTCAATGGGTGACAGACTAATAGAAAATACCAGTTAGCATTAATGCGATTTACTATAGCAAATAAAACGCATGGTGAGAAAGCTGAAATTGAGTGTTCAGAATTCTCAGGCAGATCGCGAAAATCTCAAAGTAAGCAGATAAATCCAGGCCAATAGTGTTAATATTGCCCGATTAGATAAATAGCAGATGAATGAAAATAATGCCGGATCGAAGGCGGATGGGAACAAATTTAATATTTTAAGAAAACCGATTTACGATAAATGGAAAACATAAAACTAAATTTATTAGATCTGCACGTATTATATCTGCGTCTATTATACTAATTAAATTATCAATTTCTGTTAATATTGACTTCGATTTTGTGAGAATGGCATTTAGCCAATAGGGACGCTTAGCGACTTTGATTGGTTGAAAATTTTCCAGCATTCAGTCCATCCAGCACGAGAACCTGTCATGATCTTAGAATATCAAGATGTCATTGAACTGTAATATGAAACGTTAGTCAAGAGAAATAGTTATCATTATTTAATTGGGGATTGTTCCTAATGGAAATTTAGCTGTTTGATTATTATATAACACTGTAAATATCACCGAATTGTTCATACTGATCAAGTATGTAACAAAAACTAATCGATTAGTCCAGCGACCAGCAACAACGATAGCTGTAATAACATATAATTAATGCTTAAAACCTTGCTTTTACGTATATCTCAAGTCTTGACCGCTCAAGTCATCATATGGTGACAGGAGTGGGATTCAAACCCACGCATCCGAAGATAGTGCGAGAATACGGTGACACCACTACACAACAGGATGTAAATAGACCATGACCCGAATTATAGATATTGAAAAAAGAATATTAATCGTCAGTAGAGAATAGAATTGTTAGACTGCACTGTTGCCTTTTTTACAGAAGAAAAACACAAACTTGAGCTCAGGACCCAAAAGCCTAGTCAGCTCAACGTCATTGAACACCATCGTGAAACATAAACTATCGAGTTGATACTTGGTGATAGGAGTGGGATCGCCATCAGAGCGATACGAATTCATGCGGAAGACGACAAAAACAAGAGTACTGATATTCTAATTTATTAAATCCTGGCAATTTTGGGGAATTTTGCATGGTAATGACGTCTGCTAACAGCCATCATCACCGACGACCAAGATTGGGCCAATTCAGGATAGCCGCGAAGGAGGCGACTACTAAAGAAAAAGATGAAAGAAACCCACTCAAGGGTTGATAGCAGTTATTCTAACATCCAGAGACAGAGAAGATTGTCTAAAAACCGAAGCAGCCATGTCATTTTCATCGACATTGTCTTAGACTAACTGATCAGTGGTTTGTTCGACCAGTAAAAAAAGAATAACCGGAAAACTTTTTTAATGAGTAGCTGTGTCATGATCTTCGAATATCATGATGCCAATGAACTGTAATATCGAACATTAGTCAGTGGAACAGAGAAATAGTTATCATTATTAAATTGTGGATTGTTCCTAATGGAAATTTTGCTGTTTGATTATTATATAATATTGTAAAAATTACCAAATTGTTCATACTGATCAAGTATACAACAATCACTTATCGATAAGTCCAGCTGCCAGCAACAACGATAGCTGTAATAAAATATAATTAATGCTTAAGACCTCGCTTTTACGTAAGTCTCAAGTCTTGACCGCTCAAGTCATCATATGGTGACAGGAGTGGGATTCGAACCCACGCATCCGAAGATAGTGCGCGAATACGGTGACACCACTACACAACAGGATGTAAATAGACCATGACCCGAATTATAGATATTGAAAAAAGAATACTAATCGTCAGTAGAGAATTGAATTGTTAGACTGCACTGTTGCCTTTTTTACAGAAGAAAACACAAACTTGAGCTCAGGACCCAAAAGCCTAGTCAGCTCAACGTCATTGAACACCATCGTGAAACATAAACTATCGAGTTGATACTTGGTGATAGGAGTGGGATCGCCATCAGAGCGATACGAATTCATGCGGAAGACGACAAAAACAAGAGTACTGATATTCTAATTTATTAAATCCTGGCAATTTTGGGGAATTTTGCATGGTAATGACGTCTGCTAACAGCCATCATCACCGACGACCAAGATTGGGCCAATTCAGGATAGCCGCGAAGGAGGCGACTACTAAAGAAAAAGATGAAAGAAACCCACTCAAGGGTTGATAGCAGTTATTCTAACATCCAGAGACAGAGAAGATTGTCTAAAAACCGAAGCAGCCATGTCATTTTCATCGACATTGTCTTAGACTAACTGATCAGTGGTTTGTTCGACCAGTAAAAAAAGAATAACCGGAAAACTTTTTTAAAGAGTAGCTGTGTCATGATCTTCGAATATCATGATGCCAATGAACTGTAATATCGAACATTAGTCAGTGGAACAGAGAAATAGTTATCATTATTAAATTGTGGATTGTTCCTGATGGAAATTTTGCTGTTTGATTATTATATAATATTGTAAAAATTACCAAATTGTTCATACTGATCAAGTATACAACAATCACTTATCGATAAGTCCAGCTGCCAGCAACAACGATAGCTGTAATAAAATATAATTAATGCTTAAAACCTCGCTTTTACGTAAGTCTCAAGTCTTGACCGCTCAAGTCATCATATGGTGACAGGAGTGGGATTCGAACCCACGCATCCGAAGATAGTGCGCGAATACGGTGACACCACTACACAACAGGATGTAAATAGACCATGACCCCAATTATAGATATTGAAAAAAGAATACTAATCGTCAGTAGAGAATTGAATTGTTAGACTGCACTGTTGCCTTTTTTACAGAAGAAAAACACAAACTTGAGCTCAGGACCCAAAAGCCTAGTCAGCTCAACGTCATTGAACACCATCGTGAAACATAAACTATCGAGTTGATACTTGGTGATAGGAGTGGGATCGCCATCAGAGCGATACGAATTCATGCGGAAGACGACAAAAACAAGAGTACTGATATTCTAATTTATTAAATCCTGGCAATTTTGGGGAATTTTGCATGGTAATGACGTCTGCTAACAGCCATCATCACCGACGACCAAGATTGGGCCAATTCAGGATAGCCGCGAAGGAGGCGACTACTAAAGAAAAAGATGAAAGAAACCCACTCAAGGGTTGATAGCAGTTATTCTAACATCCAGAGACAGAAAAGATTGTCTAAAAACCGAAGCAGCCATGTCATTTTCATCGACATTGTCTTAGACTAACTGATCAGTGGTTTGTTCGACCAGTAAAAAAAGAATAACCGGAAAATTTTTTTAAAGAGTAGCTGTGTCATGATCTTCGAATATCATGATGCCAATGAACTGTAATATCGAACATTAGTCAGTGGAACAGAGAAATAGTTATCATTATTAAATTGTGGATTGTTCCTAATGGAAATTTTGCTGTTTGATTATTATATAATATTGTAAAAATCACCAAATTGTTCATACTGATCAAGTATACAACAATCACTTATCGATAAGTCCAGCTGCCAGCAACAACGATAGCTGTAATAAAATATAATTAATGCTTAAAACCTCGCTTTTACGTAAGTCTCAAGTCTTGACCGCTCAAGTCATCATATGGTGACAGGAGTGGGATTCGAACCCACGCATCCGAAGATAGTGAGCGAATACGGTGACACCACTACACAACAGGATGTAAATAGACCATGACCCGAATTATAGATATTGAAAAAAGAATACTAATCGTCAGTAGAGAATTTAATTGTTAGACTGCACTGTTGCCTTTTTTACAGAAGAAAAACATAAACTTGAGCTCAGGACCCAAAAGCCTAGTCAACTCAACGTCATTGAACACCATCGTGAAAGATAAACTATCGAGTTGATAATTGGTGATAGAAGTGGGATCGCCATCAGAGCGATACGAATTCATGCGGAAGAAGACAAAAACAAGAGTAGTGATATTCTAATTTATTAAATCCTGGCAATTTTGGGGAATTTTGCATGGTACTGACGTCTGCTAAGAGCCATCATCACCAACGACCAAGATTGGGCCAATTCAGGATAGCCGCGAAGGAGGCGACTACTAAAGAAAAAGATGAAAGAAACCCACTCAAGGGTTGATAGCAGTTATTCTAACATCCAGAGACAGAGAAGATTGTCTAAAAACCGAAGCAGCCATGTCATTTTCATCGACATTGTCTTAGACTAACTGATCAGTGGTTTGTTCGACCAGTAAAAAAAGAATAACCGGAAAACTTTTTTAAAGAGTAGCTGTGTCATGATCTTCGAATATCATGATGCCAATGAACTGTAATATCGAACATTAGTCAGTGGAACAGAGAAATAGTTATCATTATTAAATTGTGGATTGTTCCTAATGGAAATTTTGCTGTTTGATTATTATATAATATTGTAAAAATCACCAAATTGTTCATACTGATCAAGTATACAACAATCACTTATCGATAAGTCCAGCTGCCAGCAACAACGATAGCTGTAATAAAATATAATTAATGCTTAAAACCTCGCTTTTACGTAAGTCTCAAGTCTTGACCGCTCAAGTCATCATATGGTGACAGGAGTGGGATTCGAACCCACGCATCCGAAGATAGTGAGCGAATACGGTGACACCACTACACAACAGGATGTAAATAGACCATGACCCGAATTATAGATATTGAAAAAAGAATACTAATCGTCAGTAGAGAATTTAATTGTTAGACTGCACTGTTGCCTTTTTTACAGAAGAAAAACATAAACTTGAGCTCAGGACCCAAAAGCCTAGTCAACTCAACGTCATTGAACACCATCGTGAAAGATAAACTATCGAGTTGATAATTGGTGATAGAAGTGGGATCGCCATCAGAGCGATACGAATTCATGCGGAAGAAGACAAAAACAAGAGTAGTGATATTCTAATTTATTAAATCCTGGCAATTTTGGGGAATTTTGCATGGTACTGACGTCTGCTAAGAGCCATCATCACCAACGACCAAGATTGGGCCAGTTCAGGATAGCCGCGAAGGAGGCGACTACTGAAGAAAAAGATGGAAGAAACCCACTCAAGGGTTGACAGCAGTTATTCTAACATCCAGAGACAGAGAAGATTGTCTAAAAACCGAAGCAGCCACGTCATTTTCATCGACATTGTCTTAGACTAACTGATCAGTGGTTTGTTCGACCAGTGAAAAATCAATAACCGGAAAACTTTTTTAAAGAGTAGCTGTGTCATGATCTTCGATAATCATGATGTCATTGAACTGTAATATCGAACATTAGTCAGTGGAACAGAGAAATAGTTATCATGATTTAATTGTGGATTGTTCCTAATGGAAATTTTGCTGTTTGATTATTATATAATATTGTAAATATCACCAAATTGTTCATACTGATCAAGTAAACAACAATCACTTATCGATAAGTCCAGCTGCCAGCAACAACGATAGCTGTACTAATAAATAATTAATGCTTAAAACCTCGCTTTTACATATATCTCAAGTCTTGACCGCTCAAGTCATCATAGAACCCTCCCCACAAAAAATTGGTGCAAGCCAGGTTTGAAAAAGATGAACGCCTACTATAATTTAGTGGTGTGTCACGGAGCCAAATACACGCATATTCGAAAAATAAATTCGTTCCCGGATAGTCAAAAAAATTGTTCCTGGATAACCTAAAACTTTTTTGTTCCCCGATAGCCAATACATTTTTGGTTCCCTGAAAGCCAGAAAATTCTCTGCTCTGAATTTGCTCTGAGCCAAAAATCAATCGCTGAAAATACTAATTTTTGTTGCATCTAAATAAAGGCTTTTTCCTTTTACAGTCCCACCTCCTAGTAGATTATAGACCATCATATTACAAAAACTCTATAATTGGTGAGGGGGAACTACTTAAAAATGAAAATTCGGACCTCTTGAATCATCTCCTCCCTTGAGTACCTAGAAACGAATATTCCCTTACAAAGAAATAAATCAGCGGTTAAGCATATGCGATATATATACAACTAGTTTCGAATAATGCTTCCATGATAGTCGAAAAAAAATTGGATGACCGAAAAAAATTCTTCCGCAAAAAATGAATGTTCCCGGATAGCCGAAAAATATTTCGCATATAAAAGAAGTCGAACTTTCTTTGCTATCTAATTCAATGAGGGCAAGACTATTACACAAAGAGAACGTTTAATCTTTTGGATTATTTGATAGCTGAGTTACGAATCAAAAAATAGTTTAATAGTTTGAATAAAATTAGTCTAAAATTTTAGACGAATTTGCCTGTTTAGTCCTATTTTGTTTAATTGCTGATTATCTTAAGATAATTTTTTATTCGACTATACGTGAATGCGGTCCCGTGGGTACGCACCTATACTACACGCATTTGCTTTTGTAGCCAAACAAATTCAAAAAAGGACAAAAACAATAAACATCGAAAACACGAATTTTTTTCCATTTTCTTCAAAAATTTCCTTCGTTTCAGGGCGCTTAAAATGGTTAGAACAACTGCTCAAAAAAAATTCATAAGAGCTAACTTACCATAAGCATCTTAGCAGAATTTAATGGGTGGTTGAGTCTATAGTCAAACTCAGACCAAATTTTCTCGACACTGGCAATTTTTTGGGCTTTCTAAAAAACTGAGTCACGATTTAAAGGTTTTAATACCAAATCATCTACGATGATCTATGACGCTCTGCCAGCTTTTTTCGAGATAATCAACATAAAATAAAAAAACGCACCCTACACCATAATTCATTCACAGTCACTTCGTGACGCGGTCGGAACAATAACCATTACAGCAAAGTGTGCGTTGAAGAATAAATATAAAAATAAATTGTTTACCTTTGTTGCAATTCAGTTGAAAGCCAGCTCGCGTGTGCATCGTAATTGATAAGCACAGATACCACTTCCTAAAACACAGTTAATACCACCTTGTATAAGAAAATAACTTAACTTACATTTTTCACTAAATGTTCAAAAACTCATTCAAAGGAATCAGCTATGGGAATCTGGCGGCATCATTCAAACTTTGGAAATAAAACCATTTCCATTGACTTGCTTTTTGAATTAAGGGTTGCTTATGCGTACAGGCAACATCAATTAGCTGATTTTTCATTAATTCTGATTATTGGCTGTTTTCGTACATGCCTTAACATCTGTGTTTATCAAACTATCAATGTAGATTTTTTAACGCATGATTCTCATTATAGTGTACCTACCTCATTTGATAGCCATTTCTTCCTGAATGCCGGAAACGTCTCCGCCGGCTTCACGCTATCCAGCACCTCCTTGGGCAACGCTAGTGCTACCGCCTGAGCCACAGATGTCATTCCACTTCTATTTCAAATCAAAGGTCCTATCCAAATTGGAATCGAAATGCGACTATAAATTTCAGCCGCATCAGTCGCGGCAGATACAATTTCGCTTCAAATGCAGCCTCATTTAAACGAGTTAGAAAACTCAGTTTGATGCCGGTAGATAGTAGACTTGGTGTGCACAATGAGGGCGGACGTGAAATTTGACAGCACTGTTTGGAGCTGGATTGATTGCAGCGGCGGTGGAGGGGATAATCGAGACAGCAGGCAAAACAGGAACAAGATACAATTTCTATCTGTTTAAGTTAACCACAGAGCGCCTCCTTACTCTGCACCGCTTTTGCGATTTGTTCAAACACCACAGAAGTAAAATGGTAAAAAATACGTCAACCAAGCGCATCCATAATCGGCAGTCACGGGAAAAGATAAAAGAAATATAATCGAAGCGAAATCTGATTTGTATATTACACTCCACGAATTACCGCTTGATTGCTTTCTATTTTAAGAATTACCTAGTCCCATCAAACAAAAAATAAACATTTCAATATTTTCCCGGCACTTGAAATCGCTATCTACCAGCACTGTCAGAAAAAGAAAATTCTTCTGGGTTGCTTTTAACCAGGTATTTTGGGGTTTAAAATGAAAAGCTCATCAGGTTTAGAAATTTTTATAAAATTGGGAAAAGGTAAATTTGAGACGTAATTTCCGCGGTGAGGCTAGTTTTCACCACCGGGCTAAGTGGTCATATCACCTGGAGTTCCATGTAAATTTCCCAAAACCGGAGATGTCCTTTTCCGGTGGTCGGAGGAAACATTCACGACAAGTAACCCTTCAATACTCGCCCGAGCATCTATCGGAGATGGCAAGGGATATAGAACTTGTCAATCAATGTAAATGTAATTTCCTGTTCAAACCATGAAATGAGTGGGAGTCTACTAAATTTCGATTAGCCTGCTAGAGGGAAGATGCTAAATTGAACGGGATTATATGTCACCTTCACTTAAATGATGTGCACCTGAGAAATGGGTTCATTTTTACATAATTGACCTGGAAAAAAATCGAGAGCGTTAAAACCATTAATAAATGTTTATTTCTATTTGAACTAAGAACAAGACATGCAAATCAAACCAACTTCAATTGAATTAAAAAGAAAACATATATTTACAGATTTGTACAGGGAATGCTTACAAAAAAATAAAGCGAAGACCAGATTTATTTTTCCAATAGAGATGACGTTTGATGAAACCTAATTCGGTTTGAAATATCGTCAATAGTTTCCACGCAAAGTGAGGTCACTTCATATTTCAGATTATTATACGATGGCAAGTGAGGCTTTTCAACTTGGAGATCATCCGTAAAAAATTCTAGAATATTTGGCTCCATGTGATTTGTCACTTGCGACTGGTTGCTTCTACTGCTACTAGGAATCTCTCCTCTTGTGGCCACACCTCTGAACATGTTAACATCTCCGACAGCCAAAGATACCAAATTGGTATATTGCTTTTTCCGGTAGTCGCAATTCAACTTGGCAGCTCCCTTTTGTTTTATCGAATCTTTCAACCCTCTGTTATTTTCAAGTTCTTCCTCTCTCAATCTATTAATGTCCACTTTCTGGCTCTCTATTTCCTTCAAAGCTCTGCCGATATTTTCAGAAAACCCCAATTCAGCATGAGCTAAAGCATGTGGTCGGATGGATTCTGTGGGGTCAAATATTGCACTGTTTATTTGAGTGGCACTGATTGACGAAGAGAGTTCGCTGTCACTGTCGCTCAGTTCAAGTCTATCATCCCCTATTATGATTGGCTGAGGCTCTTTGTAATGATACTCACTAGTAAAATTCATTTCTTCTGAAAAAAATAGGAGTTAACTAATGATATTAGTTGAATACTTTCTCCTCATTTAATATATATCAGTGAGGCATTTATTAGTATAAATTATACAATATTCGGACTACACGACACTGATTTCTGGACGAAAATTGAGCCTCATAGTTCGGAAAGCGGAAGAATCAACACTTTTTGAACTGGCGATGCGTAAAACAGTGATGCATGCAAAAGTGTTTCTCACTTTACAAATTTACAAAAAGGTCAAGTTAAAGTTTCATACCGGTAGGAAATAATTTATCAATTCTTTTGCGTTCAACTTCATTTTCGTTCTCTGGTCAAACAAAAAAATTTATTAACTATCCAATGTCGAAATTTACAATATTTAACATTGGGTTGACCAGCATTCAATTGCAAATTGAGTTCATTGGTGAATTTCCTTTCTTTCTCCATGAATTACCACGATGAAACAGAATAAGTATCTGGCTTCGAAGCGGTTGTTGCAGAGATTACGAGGTTATTTTTCCAAAAAAATTAGAGAAATCTCAGCAAAACCAGCCAATTGAATCAAATGAGGTATGATTTTAAGTTGCTTCCACAAAATTCTGATAGAATTAAGGCTGCGATAAATTTAATCTCTACAGAAACCTTTGAATCGATTCGTAGGACTCAAATACTTGCTTGAAACATCTGAAATTGTAAGTAGCTCTAAATCGAACCTCCGCAACACTTGCAATACAAAAACTTATTTAGCCATATGTTATCGCATATAATTAAAATACAGATAAGCCCCAGCAAAAAAATAATTGACAACCCTATTTGACAACAACAGAAACATATTTGACAACCCAAAAATGTCGCATTATTTTTAACGAACTCAAAAATCCTGAAAAATTTAATTAAAAACACCCATATCTTAACACTATATGCTTATGAATCTAACATAATTAAAGAGAATTCGAAACACTATTTAGTAAATATATAAGTACAATTTCGTATAGAAACAAAAGACGCGGATCATCAAGTAAAAGGTGAAGCAGCCTATTTGACAAAACTACCACAAAACATCAGATAAAACCTGGCATCCTCTCGACCTGTAAATAATACTTGCTAATTGCCAGCATAAAATTTACAGATAGAAATGATGAAACTTGAACAATAGGTCCCATTGCAGCTTAAGCTGCTTCCCAACAATGAGTGGACGTATAACTTACAAGGGTAAAAAACAAGGGTAAAAAAGAAAAGGTATAGCTAAAACCCAGATATTTGTAGCTTCAGCATACGCAGAAAAATACGTTTTACTAAAAGCTAGTCAGTGTTAACAATAAAACAAATACATCCAGCTTCGCAAATCTTGGTTTATAATAGTGTTTTTGCAATAGGGGTTCCTATGGAAACATATTTGACAACCCAAAAGGGTCGCAGTATTTTTAACGGAATTCAAAAATCCTGAAAAATTAAAAAAAACACATCCATATCTTAAAAGTATATGCTTGTGAACCTAATATAATTATAACGAACTCTAAACACTATTTAGTTAATTAATATACACATAATTTAAAAATACTTATTTTGCAACAGCTAACTATTGTTTTGAAAACCTTTCGTAAACAACATTACTAAAAAAGATGGGTGAGGCCCAGCTGCAACTCAACTATGACGTGTATTAGAAGACAATTATCTGATGCAGATGCGCAGCACAGCTTCGCACTACGTGCGATACAATGAAAATATCTACTTTAAAAAATTTATCTGGAAAAAACCATGCGTTTGCCTGCAATGTGTTCATTTTTAGGAACACATTCCCAGAAAAACAATCAATAGCGTTAAGCTACCATTAAATCTTATTATACTAAGAAAGTTATACTAATTATTATACTATCAAAGTAAAATTGCTTCGGTGATTTGGTAAGCAAGTTAACTCACAAAAATCTATATTTCGATTTCTTGGTGCTTGCTAATCACAAGCGTGAGAAAATGATAAGGTAGCGCAGTCAAAATAAAGGTTGGAAACAAAGTTGTTAACCGAATTGAAAAAAAAGAAGAATGAAAAACAAAATTGGCATATTTTCAAGTTTGAATTTAAACTTTCCAATTTTTTTATGGAGGGCTCACGAGAATGTCTTAGATTTTTCGGAAAAATCTCGTCAAACTTCAATCGTTCTCAATTAGTAGCAACAAAAATTAATAGATTAAAAAACACCAGGAAAATAAGTCAAAATTAAAAACGAACTACTTCAGCGCCGATAATCTACCAAAAAACCGATCATCTACTTTCAAAAAAGACTGATTCCCATTTCTATCGTCCATTATGTGCACAAAGTTATTAAAAGGAAAAAAGTATAGTACCTATTTACAACATCCTTGTTTTCGCAAGGGCAATAAGCCAGCCAGCATAAACTTGGAAAACAAGAAACGAAAAATTATGATAAATTTAAATTTCGATAAAAAATAAATTGTTACACAGAGGCGAAGCAGAGCTTCGCACCACTTGCGATACCACATGAAAATAGCATGGCAAGCTAGCAGACAGGAGAGAAAAGGATATCCCTTATGTCCAAAACATCAAAGATGTCTGGAATGATGTTATATTTTCGGAGAGCTCGTCTAGAATTACCTCCACGGCGTTACAGGAAAATCCCAAAACTTTTTCGAGCGGCAACTGGGTACCGTAGAACCAAAAACATTTGTCATGAAAAATGCTGAATAAAAATTTCTATTCAAAGGTTTTAACCATTTTAAGCGATGATCATTTTGAAAGACTTGTTCCTCTTCAAACGACCCAAAATTAGATCACCAAGCCAATAAAATATAAACGGAAAGAATTTCAGCAGAATTAAGTTTTTAAGCAAAAAAAAACAGAAAAAAATTATAAGAAGTCAAGGCTAGAAAAATTACCAGTAGCACAATGAAACGAAAACACTAAAAGCATCTACAATGTAAAAGGCGCACAGAAAAAAAATTTTGAAGTAGTAACTAACCCAACAAAACAAGCAGACAAATAATGCGTCAATTTTTCGAAACGGAAAACTTCCCTTTGAAAAAACATCTTTCATCAGACTCGAACCCATGATTTTTGCCATCCAAGGCGTTTTCGTTACTTCGAAACCAAGTGTTCCGTAGACACTAAGAAAACTGAATTAATTATGAGCTGAACCTAAAATTACCATTTCTAATTCTGTGAACAGTTATTTACGGAAAAAAATCTAGTGCCCGAAAGCAATACCCTTGCTAAATGCAACGGTAATTAAAAAGAATAGAAGGAACAGGGAATCAAAAATCCGACATTTCATCATAGCACGCTTAACCGACACTCTCTCAATTTTAATAAATGCTTTGAAATTCTAAACATTCTCATTGCGCCCATTTTTCATCAATATGCGCAAAATCACTGCTCACGTATTTCATAAGCTTTTCTTGTTGGTCCAACTTTTATAGTTATAGTACTCGGAAGTTACCGTAATTATCACAGAAAAAGAATATATTTCGATACGGGACTATCAATTTAGAAAATTTTGAATAGCACAAGCTAGTAAGAAAATAATGTGCCTCTAGATTTACATTTTATCTATTCAAACCGGCTGAAAAAAGTTATCTTTACAAACTTATTTATCAGAGCAATTTTTCAATGTCGGGTAGGATGTCGTTTGGAGCCGTCTTCGGACCATATCTGTTCACAGGTACGCCTTCTTTGTTCACGAGGAATTTGCTGAAATTCCACTTGATCGCATCGAGAAGAGTCCCGCTTTGTTTCTTTTTGAGAAACACATACAGAGGATCCGCTTTTGAACCATTGACCTTCAAAAAGTACACATGCTATCAAAACTTCACACGGGAGTCATTAGGCATAGCGGAATATTGAATTAAGCACTATATTTCTTAACTAAAATGGAAAATGTAACCTATCTTTTTGCGAGAACGAATGTCAAAGTTTCCACGGCTAATTTTCTTTCCATAAAACAAAAATGAGTCAAGTATTAATGAAAGTACACCTTACATCAATCTTGGAGAATAGGTCAAAGTTGACGTCGTACTGCTTGACGAACTCCTTGATTTCTGCCTCGGTGCCTGGCTCTTGGCCTGCGAACTGGTTGCAGGGGAAGCCGAGAATGCGAAGACCCTTCTCGCGGTACTGCTTGTCAATGGCACTCAGCTGCGTGTAGTTGATTGGCGTCAAACCTGAAAAGCTGCTTTTTAAAAACCACGTAGCAAATTTTCATCGGTTTTTGGACTTATTTGAAAATTTCTGTCAATTTCAATCGTTACTTGTCAGTTTGAGTTCCGACAACTATGAAATACTAGGAGACCCGGGGTGGTTTTATTTCCAAGCCCTTTCAGTAGTGATTCAGATCCAAATAGAAGCCTAAAAAGTTTTCTGAATGTCGAGAAAAGCTGGTCTGAACATTTTCGCTTTTCTGCCGATTTTTAAAAATTTTACGCTATTTTATTATCTATTGTTGAGATGCATTTCAATCAATTATGCTACAAAAGAAACCAGTAGATAATTTTGAAAACTCTCTAAGATCTATCACTCATTTTGAAACTATCACTTTCTTTATCGACTATCACGATTAGTTGATAACTAAAAGGATGTTAGAGTGTACGAGCAACTCTTCTCAGAAATAATTTGTTCTTAAAGAAAGCCTGATAAAATCACATGTTGTTGTCTATTAAAAAAAAAACTCTTACAAATTCAATCAATACTCAAAAAATAGTAGATGAGATAAATATTGATACTAAATTCATCATCTGTAGTGTAAAAACATCAGAACGCAAGTCGAGCCTTCGCCCTACAAACCTAAGATTTAAACCGCAAAAATACGATGTGGTTCAGAGCTTTTTAATCGCAAAATCATGATTAAACTTATAAACAGTACCTTACTCGAACCCATTAAACGTTTCCGCATTTACTGACAGTCGTTAGAGAAACCAAGAAGAGCCAAATATTGCCCGAATCCAAGTTCTTTCCCATTTCATCACAAACAATATCCTTGATTGGTCGGAACAAAAACAGCCAACAGAAAATTGTAAGAGTCAATTAACGGAAGTAACGGAAAAAATGACTTAACGCTCTTCTTTCTCAATTTTCGAATTTTAAAGAAATCTCAACTTTCGAATTTTGAAGAAAAAAATATATGCCCTTAAAGCTCTTTGAATTTCTACAACAATTTGTGAGTGACACTGTTTTGATTAAGTCAACCCAATTTGAGAAAATTGGACCAATAGGTAAGTTTTTTATTCCGCTGGGAAATATGATAATTAATTTCCACTTTCGAAACAAGAAATCGGTCACGTTTTTTGTGACCTTTACACTGAATTTAGAAAGAAATCTGCAAGAAAGTAAATTTGAGCCTGAACAATTTTTAGGATTTTTTCCCTTTAAAAAAAACGAAAAAAATCATCAGCATCCATATGAGAGTCTGAACTACGTTCATCTTCTCTTAATAACCTTTTCAACAATTCATTGGCAAACTTACCGCATTTAGATGAAACATTGACAATGAGACACACATTGCCTTTATATTTATCCAAGGTCACCTCCTCGCCGTCAATCGTCTTCTCCTTAAACTGATAGATTGTATCTTCCATTCTAGCTAAACTCAAACTCCTTCTCCAACCACAATTCAACTGAAATTGCGATACTGGGTTGCAACTGAGAATATAAGCCGCACTTTTGATATTATGCAATGCAAATATTCTCCTTGTAACTGTACTTGCAATAGCAATGGTTGGTTGATTTGCGATCAACTCAATATATCTGAAAATATAATGCAATACTTTATGTTACCACAAGTCGGGTATGACATAAAACGTTTTGACTGGAACGAGAAACCATTGAATCGTTCGGCCTTAAGTGAAATTTGAATGGCCAAAATAATTGATGAGTAACACAGAGACCAAGCGGAACTTCGCATATCTTGGAATGCAACGGGGAAAAAAACAATTTCAAGCTACTGAATGGCCAGTGAGATGGAAATTACAAAAAAAAACTTGAAAAAACTGAAAATACAAAAAGTTAAATCAGAAAAAAAAACAGACGAAACACAACCACTAACAATAAGCAAGCTTTTAGGTATTTCGGAGCGTCCACTGAGCCAACAACACGTAGTTGGACTTCAATCGATCCTAAGACAAAAATGCCAAAGAAAACTCATAAAAAACAACAATTTTTTTGAAACTAATATATTTTCTCCGCCAGCAATTCAGAAAAAAAGTCTACTTTGAAATTAGAAGTCAAAATTTTTTTTCGAGAACTTAATACTTTTGCTGTTCAATAGTGTAAGCAGAGGATATTCAACAAAGGAAACGACTTGAACTTAAAAACAATCGAAGACAAATCGTGAAAAATTAAATTTGAGCAAGAACAAAATTTGTCCAACGAAAAAAAAACAAAAAAATCATCACGACTAATAGAAAAGAAAAATTATATGAAGTTTAAAAATCTATATATAGGGATGAGCCAACGAGGCATGGTGATTTGAGTCGCGATCTCTTGATGGTCTGGATTATTGTAGCGAGCTCATTATTCTAGGCTCTTGGGAAAAAGATCACTTATTCAGACGAAAGAAACATCATTGCGAAAAAGGAGTTAATTTGCATCCACGATCAAAAGATACGACCAACAAGGTGCAGACAGGAAACTATAAAAAGTATAGATCGTGATAAATCAATAACCATCTGGCACGACGCATGTAACAGTTCAATTTCTTATCATCACCGAGACCCACGTGAGAAGAACCTGAGAAGAACTCGTGTCCGAGGTTTAAACTTACACCAGATATCTGGCATAACTTATTCTGAAAGAGAAAAGGCGCCTGACATAATCGCAGATCCTGAGTTAAAGAACTTTGATACTCCTGTGGTGCATATATTGAAGGACGTGATCTCAAATTATATCAGACAGAATTCAGAACTTATTGCGAAATACAGAGCTCTTCATCAAGAATCCTTACTAGAAGTTAAAACACTGGACACTGAAAAAAAATTTATGTGACCTGGAGCAATTAATTAAGAAAAGGAAAAAGAAACTTTCACAAAAGCAGCTCAAAAACGAAAACTCGAGGAATCTTCGAACTTAATAGTTTCCTTCTTTTCTTCTTCCCTGAAGGTAAAACCTGTTTGTGAGACAGATGTGGACTTAACTGCCCAGGTGCGGAGCACACGCAGATTGCCTTTATTTTCTTATAAATTGTTTTCTTTTCTCTTAATTGTATCAATCAAGAGATAAAAATTAACAAAAATATGGTTTGAAAAAATGGGAAATCATGTTGAAGTTATTACTGCACGAAAAACTGAATTGCCCACATTGCGTTTTCACAAATACAACATTCATAATGTAATGAGTTGTATTGTTAAGAATGAGTTTTTCCAGGGGTCAGTCAACCTGATGACACATGGACCTTCCGTGACAAAACCATGTCATAATTATCCAACTTCAGAGATAAAACCAGCTGAAAATTTAAATATTAGAATCATGCTGTCTAATGTTCGCTCTATAAAACATCTTGAAGATCTGGAAGCACTTTTAAGTAGCCTCGAGTCTCCAATAAAAAAAAATTGTTTAACAGAAACATGGTTGAAGGAGACTGATATTATTGAAATGTATAAAATAAGCAGATTTCACAAAACTCTCACAAAAAAAAGAATAACTAGAGGAGGCGGTACAATGATTCAACTAGGATATAAAACTACATTAATTGATAAACTTGAAACTGGTCTACCAGAATTGGTGTCTGCGATAGCAGAACCTTTAGGGAAAAAATGGTAACTGTTGACTGCTATGTACCATCCAGCTATGAAAAAGACTAATTTGTTGAAGAAGTAGACAAAGAGTTAGAATCACTAGCCAAACTTAATTAACTACTGTTCTCGCGGGAGATTTCAAAATTAACAACCATACAAAAATATTTTACAACGTTCATATGTTAATACTATAGAGGCAAATGGATTTCAAATTTTAGATGGCAGCGCTACTCGTGTTTGTGATAAAAACGGAGGATTTATTGAGAGACTAGTTAAACACCCTGAGACTAGTAAGTATAAGAGTAAGATTAGGATCGGTATTAGACTAAGAAGTTGCACGAATCTATCTGGCCGAAAATAAGATAGCGTGACGAGCAGACGGTGTATCCTATCCGAAATTACTCTATGAGTTAACAACTTCGGTTATAACTCACTTCCTTTGATGCGCTTCTGTAGTTATTAGAGCATTTTCAGACTTTTTCCTAAACAAAAAATAAACAAATCACCAAGACCTAGAAAAAGAGTGAAAATTGACAGAAAACAGAACAGAGGCGAAGCTGGGCTGATATAAAATTGGCTATAGCCGATATCAAATAGCCGATATAAAATTGGCTACAGCCGATGTAAAATAGGTCGAACTGAAAATGAAACAGGAATTTTAACAAATCGAGCAAGGAAAAACACTAACAACATAAAAAGATAATTCTGAATAGGACATACTTAAAATGGTAACATGCACGAAACATATCCATAGCGTTAAAAATATTGCCCATAGAAGCGTTCAGGTAATGAGTGTGGATGAAAACAATCCTGTGAACATTGTTATTTACTGGAAGAGAATCTAGTCACCGATTGAAATACCCTTGCTTATCGCAAGGGTAAAAATGACCGAACAAAAACATTGAATATCAGTCAGACAAAAAACACTGATTATGGCTTTGGAAATATGTGTTTATGAGGAAAACTATCGAAAAAAAACGATAAGCCAACCTCCTCAAGCTTCGATTGAGGAGTATTTGAGAGAGATGAAAGCAAAAGCAAGAACGTCGACTTCTTCTAATTGCAGCTACAAACAACAACAACAACAACAACAACAACAGCAACCTTCCACAAAACCAATTGAAAAATAAATTATCGTTGAAAAAAATTTATTTTCAACTTTATATAACACAAAATTATTAATGTACAATAACGATTGATAAAAAGATCTCAGATCGTTTTCTTAATTTCTGCAGTCTTATATAAAACATATTTGAAAAATATTTATTGAAAATGAAAATAAAAATTAGTAGCATGACAATAAATTGTTAGTAATCATAAATCATCCGTTGTCCCAGCTTCATCACCTAAACATAACAGCAATCATAAGCTCACTAATATCATTAAAATACTAAATCTTTTTCTTAAATAAATTTAAACCATTTTAAACTTAAATTCACTTAATTTTAAAAAATCAGATCATCAAGGCTTATCCTTGGATTTTAATAAACTTTCTATCTCACTAAATTTAAAACCTGATCATCAAGTCCTATCCTTGGATCAAAAAGAACAATTTTGTTCTCCCCAACCCACTTAGCAAGTGTCTACCGACCTCAAACGTCGATTCACTATCCAACCTTTCCAAAAGACCCAGGACTAATAGAAATTTTTCAATAAAACTAACCATTCAAATAAGATAAACAGTGAAGAACTTCGGTTATTCATCCTTCACTTGAACCCTCCTCTTACCAGACCCAGGATAGATCTTAGACTTAGTAAGTTTAAAATAGTATCTTACGAACTACTTGCGTTCTAATTATACCTGAACCTTGTGGATCGATTTACTATTCTCCAACCCTTGAACACAATCACTACCCCTAAGTAAGATTAAGTAAGTTAACACCTTAGCTTAGACTAGCCACGAGAAAGTAAAAAATCATTCTTCGGAATCGGTATACTTTTCTCTCCAACCCTGAACAAAAAGACCCAGGTTAAGCTGACCAAAAAATCGTAAGGACTAACAGTCTAAGGAAATAGAAATAACTAACAACTTCTTGCATCCCTCATCCTAAATCTTATGTCATTCAAAAATTTAGGAAATAAACAAACAATCGTTTTACACAACTGTGAAATAGATAACAAAAAATACGATCTTGTAATCACACCTCATACACAAACAGTTGGATACATTAGAACAAAACGACAAACAATAAAAAGGAAAATTATAAACAAACAAAGACAAATCACACGAAAAAGATTTTCAAAAAGTAGAAACGCATTTTCTGAATCAGAAGTAAATAGTTTAGACGAACTATACAAATTAAAAGAATCAATAGATAAAAATTGTCCCATCCATGATCAACTATATTTTTCCGACTCAGAAACAACTTCAAATTCATCAAAAAGAGGAAAAAGAAGAATAAAAAAGCAATACAAACACAAACCAGTACACTTGTATAATTGGAATCAGCCAATTAGACACATCGATAGTTATATATTAACAGTCATCAAACGAAAAAATGAGCCACACTCAAAGTGACCATAGTCCAGATGACGAAGCAGTTTTTCCCTGTCTTATAGATTCACTCGATGATAGAGGACAACACGATTTTTGCAAGAACTTCCTCGTAAATTTGTTTGAACCAGGAATCAGCCCATGCAAACAAGAATTCCCAGATGTAAAAATCAAAAGACAAATTATTGAACATTATTTGAAAGACATATGAGTAGTATGCATATAGTGCGTTAGGATCGGGGGGGGGGGGTTGTCATACATGGATGACCATTAGGTATAAATCATAATGGTCACCATGTATTAAATGATCAGCAATGGTCACCATGTAATAATCCTAATTGTCACCACATATAATTTTATACCCAATAGTCCTCATGTAAAACTTCGGTATATTATTGAGTATTCCCACTGAACGTTGTGGTTACATGTTTGGAGCGGGAAAGGATTTGCCAAATCTTTGTTCTGAAACCAGCCGGAGTGTTTAACTGCGCTATAGACTGTTTGCTCAATTCTTCTTAAAA